GGTCAGCAAAGATATGGAACGCCTTCGCGACTGAGCCAGAAACCTCACCCCTTTCGAGCATCTCCTGGATGTGCAACTCGAACATCTCCTTTGCCCTGACGTCACCTGATTCGCCAGAAGACTGAGATCTGAGGGCGGGAGGAGTCGATATCTCGATCCTCTCAGGAGCCCTACTAGCCCCGGCATGCCTTCTTGGGTCATCTATGGGACAATCATCAATCCTGGATGGCCTACTCGGGGTGGATCCCCTTCTCCGGCTATCGCCAGATCGGGGATCAACGTTGGATGCACGTGACTCGGGGGTGGAGTGAATGTGAACATCAGCAGGATCAGGCATCTCCTCATCCTGCGGAGTTGAATCCATTGGTGAGGGGCTAGCCCTCCTCGCCTTTGACCTATCGGTCTCAATGGCCAGGGGTGACGGTCTCTTCGCAGAAGCACTACGTTCCCTAGCGGTCGAGCCCCACTGAGGTGTGAACTCGTTGCTAGACCTAAGTGTTTCAAGGTCACTAGTATCTCGCCCTAACGGGCTAGCGATCGACGGATGATCCTCGATTCCGAGTGCATCGGCAAGCCGGCCATCTCTTGCACCTCTCCCAACGACATCGGCAACCCGCTCGGTGATCCTCGGCGAACCAGTAACCCGGTTCGAGTTCACGTCTCTCTGATCCAACGGACCTCCAAAAGTAATGTTAGGAAAAGGGGGAACATTCGGGGTATCACCAATCGCCGGGGGACCTACCGGTCCCTCACGGTCATGGATAGCCTCCAATCCTCGAAGAACTTCCCGATTGTCCCTGGCTCTCTCTCTCTCGCTTCGGCCGTCCCTGTCAACACGAAGGTCCCTGGCGGCTCCACGAGAGAGGCTCCTGGGCCTCGCAGCATCACGGATCCTAGCACTTCGTCGTGATTGGTGCTCTTCCTCATCACGGCGATCCGCAAATGCGGCATACTCGTCATCATCATTTACCTCAAACTTGGCGGCGGCAGGACTAGTCCTTGCAGCCGCACGGTTGCCTGCACTTCGGCGCGAATGGCTCTCCTCCTCGTCCGCAAAATTGTAATCTCCGTCATCACAAGACTCAGATTTGGCCGTAATAGGGTTGGGCCTACCGGCATCAGATCCCTGCTTTGAGCTACTGCCCCATCCTGCGGTCGATTTCAACAGATCATCGTATCCGAAGTCTGAGAACTTCCGCTCCTCGTGCTCATCAAACTGACCTGGATTCTGAGAACCAGTGGATCGCCCCGGGATACCTCCCGGAGCCAGAACCATAGTCCCTGGTCCCTGCGGCCTATTCTCAAACTCATCCGAGACCTGCGACTCACCTGGAACAAGAGATCTCGGAGGTCGAATCGGCATGGCCTCCGGGTCATCCGAATGAGGGCGGGCCATGTCCATCGCCATGCTGATGAAGTCAAAACGTCCACGCCTGTGACCTGATTCAGAGCCACTCCTATCGGAGTAAACCCTTCGTGTCTGCTCGTCATCAGTGGCCTGGCGGAAAATACGATCGTCTCCATCGTCGGCGTACCTGCCACGGCTCCTGGGTGTATCCCTACCGGGATCTTCACCCCTGCGGTCCTGACCTGTCGAACCTGCTTCGAAATCCTCGTAGTCATAGTCCGGTAGGTCCTCACCTGAGCGGAGGCCACCTAGGATGGCCTCCTCATCCACGACGCTCCTTCGAGATCGTGGGGTCGACATAGAGCTTGTAGTTGATGGTCTCAAGCGCGTAGGAAAGTCCTACGGCTGATAACCTGTGATTCGGGCACGAGCCTGTGCCCAGGCAATGGGTAAGTTGGGGTAAACAAGCCACAAAAGAAAGGTTCCCCAAAAGCAAACCAATCCCCGGTCCCAAAGATCAGGGTTTCCCACACACCAGAGAACAACAACCAAACGGAAACAAACCAAACAAGAAAAGGGTTAACCCGCAACCTTGGTCGACAACAGGCCGCACGACTGGTCCCTACCAACCTGGCGGCGGCCCGAGGTCTCTTTCTCCCCCGAGATGCCGTCGGTCGACGCAGGGGTTCGGCGACGCCCATTCGAGGCGCGACGGAACCCAAAACTTGAGCCAAAACACCACAGGTCGGTCACTAACGCGACGTTCCTGATGATGATATGAACCATGGCTAATCACACAAGGGTATTCTGAAATTGGATGGCCAGCCATCAAATTGCGAGTGGTGCAGCCTGGCTCCCAGTTGAAAGCTGGTTGTACGTGATCCTACTCAGGATGAACGTAGTAAATGCCGTGGATGGACAAACTCCTCCAGGTCCTCCAGTAGAGAGGTTAGAATAAGGGTACCAACTTGTTTCTGTAGTCTATTTTAGTACGGGAACCCTCCCCAAAAAAAGGGTAAAAGGGCACTACCGGGGGACCTAATCCTGCACCAGTTGGGCTGCATGAAATCCTATCCTCATCCACAGTAGGATGCTAACTACCAACTGGGCTGGTCAACCAAGTCAGTTGGTCTATGTGGCTGACGCAAGGTCGGGCAAGGAATCGGCCACGGTCCATGCAATCCACTCTCATCGGAAAGCAAAGCGGCGTCTGGATTCTGCAAATCCTTCTGTGTTCATCACAAATTGAAATTTGAGACCTTAGTCACCCAAGTAAAGAGCCTTAGTAAATTGAAAGTCCCCCAACAATTGAAACTTGGGAGCTTCTAAGCAAAAACCCTTAGTCAGGGTGAACTTTCGACGCGCCCGTTGTACTCGCAGCTCGCCGATGATAAAATCGGCGAGTCGAGGATGCGGAAAAAAACGCAAGATCATTGAAACAAATAAGGCACCCCCCTGCAAGAAAGATTGGGATCGGCTTGGATTGGTGGTTTGGACCCTAGGGTTCCTTTCCCCCTTTAAAATCATGGCCTTGAAACCCAGTTTAGATGATGACAATCCTGAAGGATAAACAAAGGTGGCTATACTAACCCAACCATTGTTTTAATGGTCGCCAGCCTGAACCCCGGGGTAGAGGGTAAATGGGAAATCACCCCTCACCAAACCACCGGGCTCCAAACTTGGTGAGGTCGCTAACAAAAACAAATCCGTCCATGCAAGAATGGAAACCAACAAGTAGAAAAGTCAAGCCTACACTTTGAGGACGATAACTCCGAAGAGGCACTTTGTGGCGGACATAGATGCTTTTGTTCTTCTTTTTTGATGGTTCCCTTTTTGCATAGGTTATAAAGAGAAACCAAAAGGACGACCACATTGCTGCGGGTTCACCTATTTTGACGCTCCCTCCTCAGCAAGATGTGTGTCCATAAGGGAAGCCAACCCAAAGGTTGGGTGATCTTCGCACTTCCTGGTAAGTTCGAACTGTTGATTTGTCACACAAATGGTCCAAGCCCAAAAAGTCACCAGAGTCCATGAACTCAGGTTTGGTGATCTTTGACACAAAACAAACAAAAACAAAAACAAAAAACAACACACACGTAAGCCCAGGTGGTATCCCCAACAGACTCAACAAAAAGACAAGCCGAAACGGGACACCTGTGAATTCAACCTTGGGCTCCCACGATGTATATATGGAGTTCCCTACAAGACACTCAAATCAAGGCCAATTTGACTCCTGAACACTACAATTTGCTCAAGCCCCCTGGAACAAAACAACACATATGTCCAGAAGTTAAAACCAACAATGGAAAATAAGCAATACTCATAAACAAATGGCAGAAGAGACTTCCAACAAAAAACACGAAACCGACGTGCGGAGTGCATGTTTCCCCCAGACGTTGCGCTCGCTCTCGAGGCGCTCCGACCAACTTTCGATGTCAAGGATCCGATCCAAAGTCGACGGCGGTCACTAAACGAGTGGATATAAGAAGAAACGATCATACGATACACCAATTAGTATCTTTAGGGTTCAATAACTAGGTCCTCCAGTAGAGAGGTTAATAAGGGTACCATGTTTTGTTGGTAGTCTATTTTAGTAGGCGAACCCTCCCCCAAAAAAGGGTAACAGGCACTACTGGGTGGGGGACCTAGATAACCCATTTTCTAACTGGATTTTTTGTTGAGGGTGAGCCTAGAAGTTTGGTAAGAAGAAGTCGACGGCCCACCTGCAGTCTCCTTCTGAGGCCTAGAAAAAGGGGTCATAACTCCACTTTGCTTTGGGCAATGACCCCATTTTTTAGGGTCATGGAGACTCCAGGTACCACTAAGATGGTGATACTCAACCTCAACGATACCTAACAAGTATCAAGTTCAGGAACTCAGCAAGTGAGTCGGATTATATCACCTGTCCTACTGTGGGTCGTTGCGGAAATCAGGGTTGAACTCATAACGTTTGTCGGCATTTACGAGTGAATCATCCTTCCAGGATGTATTAGGTGGTGTGTCCATCCAGATAATTTCTCACTTGCCCAAAGAACCCATAAATAAAAGGTTGACCCGGGACCATGACAAAAAATGAACCAAAACTGGAAAACCAAAAAGGTTCAAAGGTCGGCTTTAGGCAACTAAGATTAATATTGGGGGGGTGTTCCCTGCAGTGAAAAGCACCCCCTTTTTAGTGGTCTCCCCCCAATCAAACTCAACTAGGCCTCTCTCGGGGTTCCAAATGGGTCTGTGGATCGATCCTTCGTTCCGAGGGGCCGCAGCCCGAGCCCTTTCAGCTGTGTGAAACCATCGTCGGCTATTTCCACACACCATCCTGAGGTCCCGAAGCTGTGCCAGCCATTCCGGTCAGCTCCGGTCGACTTTGGCCAAGCTTAGGCTCCCTGCAAAGCTCAACTGCGGTTTCTTCTCTGAAATGAAAGAAACCAACGGCGGAAACAAAAAACCAAAAAAGGAGCAAAGAAGGCCAGTCGTGCGGTAAGTCTTGTGTCAAAACAGGGGTAGCCCCAAAATGGGGCTTTAAAACCACCTGCAAAGGGTACCCCCAAGAGACCGCAGATGCCCAGTGGCCATGGGAGAAGAAAAAGGGCATGCACCTTTTCTTCTTGCTTGAGCTTAAAGGGGAACCCTTACCCAAACAAAGTTGAAAAAAGGACACCACTGGGCAACTGGGAGACTCTCATCCTGGCTGGATCGGATTGCGCAAGCTTGCGCAAGCTCCTGCTCCGGCCGGTGCTAGACTCACCTGTGTGGATGACGAGTGGGTCGCGCAAAGAGTGTAACACGGTTTCCGGCAAAGTCCAAGAGACAAAGGATCCGAAAAACTGAAACCTGAAAGGAAAACCGAAGTCCGAAGTCTTGCCAAGTCGCTTCTCCTTGAGCACGTGCACGGGGCTCCAGTTGGGGTCCACTTGGACGCCGATCAGCGCTTCAACGCGCTGAAAGAGCATCTGACACGGCTGGTCCTCTGGGAAGGCGTGCTGGTACTGTCGCAGCTGCCTGAGCCCAAGCAAAAGGCCTACCCAGAGGGTCCCTTGGTACCTTCTAGGGAGGTACTGAACAAGCCCTTCTTACCCCCCAAAAGCCATCCTCAGGAGGTACTTGGACCCTCTGGGCTAGCGAATGGGTCGTCTGGGTGGCTCGTCTTTTTCTTGAGGTTCGATACCCCGTTTGCGGCTTGGGAACCAAAACAAACACCACTCATTTGTGGGGTCCTAACAAAAGATAACCCTCATATTCAGCCACATGGGTGTGAATTTGAATAAGGGGCCCTGATCCGGTGCCCCTTAAGATTCAGGGATTCATGTCCAACCAATTTGAAGGTGCCAGCAAATCATTACAACTCACAAGGCATCCCCCCCTTCAAAAAAAATAATAAGACAAAATGGACATGGGCACGGCCCAAAATGGACCCCGAATGGAAAAGTAGACTAAATCCGGTCCCCTGGCCGTTGAATATTGAGCCAACATGGTTGTCCTTTGGTTCCCTTCGTCTTCTCCGACGGCTCCCAGCGCGCCGATTCAGACGTTAGAGGCTCACTTCCCGTGCAAGGTTGGCGGACATGGCAGTCAACAAGGGAGCAACGCAAACAGGCTGGGCGCTTTAAAAGATGGATGCCTACTTCTCAGTTGCCCTTTGACGACAACCCAGAAAGAAAGAATGATTTCACTTGTTCAGGCCACTAAAACTGGAACTCCAAATAGGACAATAAAAAGGTGACGCCAGGCCGTTTCGCTGGCAAGTATTGCTTACTCAAAATGCACGGCTCCGGAAACTCAGGGAGAAGGACATTTTCAGGTCACTGTATTTTTGGGTCATTTTTCTCAGATAAAACAAAAACTAACTGGGCTGCCCAATTGATCACTCTACCTGGGCCGCCCTCCGCGAAAAGTGGCGCTCACCTTCCGCGGCTATGCACATCCAGCCACAGCAACTATCGAGCCTAAGGAACCGGATGCCTAAGCTCCAGGATCGATCCGGAGGCATCATACAGTGCAACTTGCTACCCTCAGTGGTTTTGAGTGACCCTGGGAAAAAAAAGAGGATTGGAACCCATTCCTTTTTGGGGCTTGGACCGAATTTTTAGCGGGGCAGCCAAAAAGAAAGGAAAAATCATTGGAGCCACTGAGCAACTGAGTAAATGGAGGTTTCCAACTCTATTTTGGTGTTGAGAAGGCCACATGTTTCAAATGGTGGCAAAATAGAGATCTTGTTTTTGGAGCCCCGAACAATCAGATAATTTCAGACTCCACCTGGATCGCTAGTTGCGATGCTTTTCTTCTATGCACTTTACCATCCAAAAACCGATCGCAACAGTGACTGACAAAACGTAGCAACTTGGCTATCTAGGTAGACACAAACACGAAGCACCGTTTCGAGGAGACCTCAGCAACCTGCTCTTTTCTGGGAGACACGCAGCACACCACCGGACACTGCAGCTGCACGTGGCCATGCCCCCCCCCAAAAAAAACACTGTCTTTTGGGTGGTTTGTGGGAAGCTACACATGTTCAACCAACAAGTTGAAACAGATCCAACCAACTAGCCAAGACCTGATCGATCCATATGGGGTGGACCCATATTTGGCCATCAGTTTCGACAGGGACCACCTCAAAAGTGTTTGGTGGTGGCTCCCAACCCAAATTTGATGTCCACCATTCTGGGCCCAAATCGTCACACATCGTCACCATGCGTTTCCTGTACCATGAGTTCTTCCATTTCCCAAATCCCAGATGGGAGTGTATTGTTCTTGGGGACCCCCCACAATGGCTTCGGTTGCCCTCTGGTTCTCCATGAAAAAAATCACACAAAAAAGGGCACCCTCAGACAAAAGGGCCCCCTATGGGGGTTGATCAAAAGGTCCTTTGCATGGGATCACCAACAACATGATATTTTCCAACTCAATGGGGAACGTCACCCATGGTCATTTGGGGGGAGAGGAATATGGATCAATCCCCATATCTGTTTCTCCCGGACTCGTTCTCAACCAAAAAAGGGGTAATTGTCGTTTTCCACACCAAAACTGGGTACCCTTGCAAACCAGTGCACCCATCCACTTCTTCCACTCCCAGACGGATTCTAGGACCTCCAGTAGAGAGGATAGAATAAGGGTACCAACTTTTTTCAGGACGTCTTTTTTAGTAGGGGCACCCTCCCCCCAAAAAAGGAGTTAAGAACGGCACCAATTGCTGGGGGAAAACCCTAGACGTTTTCCACTCCCAAACTAAATATCTCGTTTTTTCTCCGCGTCCCAGGGTCTGAAAGCACAGCTGGAACTTCCGGTTCCGGTAGTTCCGGTGGATGTCCCGGAAGCCCTCGAGGTAGTACTCCAGCTGCTCGGCCGAGCTAAACCTGGAGCTCGCAAACAAACGCGCCGCGCGGAAAAAACAAAAACAAAAAACGTCACGCGCAACTCAGTTGTTCAGGGACCCTGGAAAAAAAAGGATTGGAACCCTTTTTGGGGAAGACCATTTAGGGCAGCCAACAAAAAGAAAGGGAAAAAGGGTGCCACTGAACAACTGAGGCAAACCACTCCGCGGGGAGGGGGGGGGGCGAGAGGTTTTGGTTTAAATTGCCAAACTGGGAATCGGTCACAACCCTTTGGTCAAAGCTTCCATTTGCTGCCCCTTTCAAAAGCAACAAGGAGTCTATGGGTCTGCCTTTTGATTGGGGTACCTGGAGTCTCCATGACCCTTTAAAAAATGGGGTCATTACACAGTATTAAGGGGTTATGACTCATGACACTCTAGGTAGGATTTCTTTGGGGGGTTTTCAGAACCGAAGCCGTTTTGGAAGGATCCAACGCAAAAGAGACACGCTAATACAATGCACAGCTTCGCAAACTGCCGCAGGTGAGCTGGGTTGTCTCGGCTTGTGTGGAGCAGTCCCTGTAGGATATTACAACCATACAAACACTACCTCAGTCAGGCGTTTCTCCCCAACCAAAGATAATCGGTTTGATTCTGGTCCATGTTTCGCAAACCTTGAAACCCTAGAGCCCTAGCGAGCCCAAGTTGCTCCTCTAATTCGGGTCTCAGGGAAGCATTCTCCAAATGACCAAAAGAAAACACCTTTAGCATCACCCAAAGATGTTGCAAAGAAGGAAAAAAGGCCATATAGTGAGAAAAGATGTTGCAACGGTTGTAAACAAACGCAAATATCTTAGAAAGCTTCATACCTGGAACCCCCGTCCGGCCAAATGTTAGCCGTTTTGAGTTCAGCAAGAAATCAGCCGCAAGTAGAAAAATCGCCGGCAGCTCTGAAAAACGCCGGCAGTCAAAAAACAAAAGCCGTGAAGCCTGGTCCAACACATCATAAACTGAAACAAGCACTTGCTCTGCAATACCAACTGGCATGTCTTCAGTTTGCTCACAAACGCTGCTGAAGGTTATGAAACTGGGCACGCAGCAACGACTCCACCCATCCAGAGAACACTGCGTAGGCCGGAAATGGCAAACACTTGCACATTAATAGATGAGCTTTGGCAGTGTCGGTGCCCGCAGCGACATAGCCAACTGCATCATGATTTCATCCGGCAATGCATTTGTGACCAGACTTGCTTTGCACAGTGAGGCTAATAACAGCACGAATCGAAAGGAAGGAGATCAAGCAACACAATCCCAGGCCCTGAGAACGTCCACTGGTTCGACGCGTGGTTCCGCCGTAATCCCGCGTGTTTCCGCCGTAATCCCGCGTGTTTCCGCCGTAGCCCGAAACACCAACAAAACACAAAAACGTCTATTCAACCGTGCATGCAGGTAAAAACTGATTCCTGTACTTTGGGGCAACCAGCCCCTTTGAAGCCAAAAGCAGTGGAGACAAAAGGGCAGACGCATCGAACAAACATAATTCATACACCCGGGCTATGTCATGCCCTGATTGAAGAGATTGGCGGTAGGCATGCGCAGGCACTGCGGTGGCTACAAGTTCCAAAAGGCTGCTTTGTAACAAGTCAAACGGCGGTTTGCACAATCAACGCTTGTCACATTGGTGCATGCTCATGGATCAAAGCAAAGGTCGTGGCAGCCATGCTGTGTAAGGCCGCGTATGAAAAACACAGCCGGAAAAGCAAAATTCAATTTCCGCCGGCGGAAGCAAAAAGGCGCCTTTTTGAGTCCGCGGCGGAAATTTTGGCCGGAAGGAGTTTCCAGGTATAAAAAGGATGCTATAAAGGTGTTAGCAGGCCTTGCCCCACCCGTGAAACCATGGTTGATTGCCACTTAAATCATCCGTTAACCAAAAAGTAGAAAGTCAGGAAGGAAGTGAGGGTACTGGGCTCTCAGGGTGGAACCTCCTAAATTGCCAATCGGTTCTGGGCGCGTTCGCGTAACGAGAACTCGGGGGCCAGGTGGCCAACTTTCTAGGGGACATTCTTGCCCTGGGTTCAAACCACCATGAAAACAATACCATTATTACATCAGGATTGTCATCATCTAAATTGGGCCAACCACCAGCATATTTTTAGTGCCCTTCAATGGAGGGCACTTGGCCTGTTTTTGAATCGAGGGCACTTAAAGCAGTGTGGGTGGCCTAAGTGCCCCTTTGATTCGTTTGCTAAGTGCCCTTTTTGGCTTGATGGGGGTTGGGATTCTGTTGAAATCGAAGAGCTACCCGTGTCGAAGTGTGACAATTGCTACATTTGATTGGCGCCGACCTGGAAAGCCCGAACTTGGCGTTTTGAGTGTCAAAGCGTGTCATTTGAGTGTCATTGGTGCGAATCGAGGTCACCTTCCCCTTGAAAAGGACCCTTACGCTGTCGGTCCCCCCTCTCAGTTGCTCAGTGACCCTGGTAAAAAAAGAATTGGAACCCTTTTTTGGGAAGACCATTTTAGTGGGGCAGCCACACAAAAAAAAAGGAAAAAGGGAGCCACCGAACAACTGAGCCCGTGAGTGAAAAACTCGCGTGTCCTGAGACACTCAGGGAGCCCTAAGGCTTCGGAGGCTGGGCACGGGCGTCTGCGTCCAGAAAAAAACCCACGTCGCGGTTTTTCGTTTTTGGCGTCCAGCGCAGGGCCCCTTTAAAAGGCGTCCAGCCCTCTGGTTGTCGATTTCTTGAGGGGGCGTTCATCTTGAATGGTTCATGTGTCCTTTGGTTTCAAGCCCCCCCGCCCGCCCCCGCATGGCTTCCAGCTCTCTCGTTTCGTCGCTTCTTGTGGGGGGCGGTCTTAACCCAACGGCGCCTGCCCGGCAGCTCTGCGTCTTCGGCCACGAGCCTCGCTCGTTGCTCGGTTTCTCGCGAGCTCTTCGTTTCTCACAAATGTGGGCAGAAAGGTTCATATGACCGTAAGTCAAAACCCCGTACTTCCAGTGAACATCTCAATCCCCACCAAACTAGACCAAAATGCCAAAATGGTACCATTGGTTTTGGTCAAAATTAAACCACCAGGGGACCGCAGATTTTAGTGCTCGGCTCCATTTACCAGGGCAACCCATTCTGGGCACCGATTCTTGACCCACAGCCATATCCCAGACAGTCCCTTGCGTCCCTTCTAGGTACTGAACGAGCCCTTTTTACCCCAAAGCCATCCTCAGGCTTACCCCGAGTCTCTGACCCGGAGAACTGTCTCGTGTTGACCCTGTATGGACCAAAATCCCTTCGCAATCCACGAACTGAAGCCATGGGAGACCATTGTTTGTCCGTAATTTACACGGAAATCATCGGGGTTTCTGAGCGGTGGCGCGACATGGAGTTCGCAACCATCCACGCTAGGGGAGCCACAACCTGGGAGAAATTCTGTTGGGCAACTGGCCCAGAAGGCGTTGGGCGCGAAAAAATAAACACCTCCAAGAGAAATTGGGGGGCTTCCCCATGTAAGACTGAGGAGCTTTCATGGTCATACTACTGTGGATGGTTGCGAAATCCATCCATTTCGCATTGTTCAGAATCCCTGGAATCGCTTCCCCTTTAAATACCAACAATGGTTTCCCATAGTTTCCAAGTGGTGCAGGAGTTTGTCCATCCGGCATGGGTATGCATCTGAATGAAGAATAATGTTGACCCCGGATTAATAAACCCATCCAAACAATAGGGGGGTGGGGTCCCTTTCAAAAGTGGTCTGAACCCGCACTAAGCCAGAAAAAAACAACCCTACTGATCAACCAGGCTTCATTCATCCGGGGTTCCCGGAACCCTCCCAAATGATTGATGGACAGAAAATATCCCACCTTGGTAGAATCCGCAAGTGCTTTTTTTTCCCAGACCCCAAGGCCATGGAAAGCAAAATCCCTCTTTGTTTGGGGTAGACTTTGAAGGGAGCCCCCTTCCAAACATGGAAAGAGGTCGCTGCCGGAGGTCTGCATTTTCATTGAAATAACTCCAGCTCAAGACACCTGGCCATACACAAAGGGCACCACCCTTGTGTCATTGTGGTTGGGGCTGATTAAGACTTGGTGGCGTTCCTTTGGGTTTTCCTTTGAAACCAACTGAAAAAGGTTTGCCTTAAACAGGACAAGTTCGGCCAAGCAAGTCGGCATCCGTTCGGTCATAGCCCACTAAGTCCCGGTGAATGTGAGGTTCACCCTGTTAGTGGGTTAGAACCCACTTGCCCAAAACACATACTAACTTGGCAACGAACATTAAGGGATACCTTCAAAAAATAGCAGACACCTGTCTAGGCAGGGGGGGAACCTCTTTGGTCGCCATGCTGCCCTTGCAAGAAAGTTGATCCTGGTTGCTGTTGACCCCTCTGCACAAAAAAGTGTTTAACTTGTGGGTCCAATGGAACATCACGGAACATCAACAAAGTTTCAACAAAAAAGATAGTGTCCAAAGATTCCGTTACCAAATGTTCTCATAAAGGACACTCACTGTCTTAGGGGACCACTATTCTGGGCGGGCGGTCGCCAACAAATCAAGCAATGTTGACCCCATGTATAAACAAACCAACCCCAGCTTATTCATAGGCGGGTGTTCCCCTCCGAAAGTGGTCTGATTCCCCACATTTCACCCAGGTTGACACCCCTATTAAACTGCAGTTGAGGTATGAGTCAACATTGGACCATCTGGGAGGTGCTTCCTCCCCCCCCCCCGGGAATTGTCCCTCAGATGCCTGATGGAAAAAGGAATCGGCACCCTTTTTTGGTTGAGTTTAAAGGAATCGGAACCCTTACCCCCAAAAAGTTGAGAAACAAAATCGGCACCACTGGGCAGCTGAGTTCCCCAACAAACCCCCCCCCTTTGCCCCCCAATCCCCCCGAAATTTTCTTCCCACCGCTCCACGTCCGCGGCGCTCGTAGAGCTCCGTGGGCTGCGACCGCCCCTTCACCGTGACCAGATCCAGCAGCCGCAGCCGGAACTTGCCGCTCACCGAGGAGTCCGAGGCCAGCTCGTTCTCCACGATGACCGACACGCCGTAGAACTTGCCTCCAGGTGGCCAGGGTCAAAATCCGAATCGGATTTAGCCCCCAGTGAACATCAACCAATCCAACCACTAAACTAGACTAAAATGGCTGGTGCACCTACCCCAAAATGGTACCATTGGTTTTGACCCACAGCCAGGTCATTTTTTTGGTGTCCAATGATTATGTGTCCTTCATCTTTTTTGGGGAGTGTCCGGGTGATGTGTTTGGGTGTTTTTTTGGGGAGTGTCCGGGTAATGTTTTATTATTATCATTATTATTATTATTATTATTATTATTGTTATTATTATTATTATTACTATTGTTATTATTATTGTTATTATTATTACTATTATTATTATTATTATTATTATTATTATTATTATTATTATTATTATTATTATTATTACTATTACTATATTATTATTGATTTTGTGGGTGGTGGCCGGGTGACTTTTTGTTGGTTCCCCTCAACCTTCTTTTGGGGGCAAGCCCTAAAATGGCTGGAACTGCGCACTTCTAGGTCCTGCAGTAGAGAGGTTAGAATAAGGGTACCAACAATATTTTCAGGACGTCTATTCTAGTAGGGGAACTCTCCCCTGAAAAAGAGTAAAAGGGCACCACTGGAAAAACCTAGACTTTCTTTGCTTGGTGTCCGGGGTGAATTCTTTGTCGGTGTCCTTCATCCTTTTTTTTGGGGGGGGGGCAAGCCCTAAAACTTGCCAAATGTCTTGTCGGATGTTCGATTCACCATGTTTGGTAGCCACTGCGGCTATAGCCGAGATTCACAAAGTTAGGAGGTTACATTTTTTCTGGGTGCCCGAGTGTTTGTTGTTGTTGATTTTTGTCCTTCATCCTCTTTTTGGGGGGGGCAAGCCCGAAAATGGCTGGCTTGCCTCCAGGTGTTGACTTGGATGATCGATTCACCAAGTTAGTAGGTGGCTAGCCACTCGGGATCGAACCGAGTAACAACAGGGTTCACCCCACTGAACGGGACACAAACTAAGTGGGTGAATTGTTTTTGGATGTCCAATATGTTTGTTGTGTCCTTCATCCTCCTTTTGGGGGGCAAGCCCTCTCTTTGGATGGCTTGCCTCCCGCTGTTCATGTTGCCATGTTTGTTTGCATTTGTCCTTTTTTCTTCCGGTTGGCAATACCTACATGGGTGCCGGAACCCTCCAAAATTTTAGGGTTTGTCCACTCTGGGTGCCCCAATTGTCCATTTGTTGGGGCGGGGGGTTCTTCCCCCCTGCTTGGGTGTCCAATATGGGTGCCTCGTCCATTTTTGTTGGGTGCTGAAGAAGGGCTAGCCGCACAGAAACCTGAGCTGCCGCAAAGTTGGATCTTCCCGAGTGACTGAAGAGCTGCGCACGTCAGACTATCTGCAAGTCTCATCTTGGATCCACAAGTGAGTCCAACTCAAAACCCATCCATGCTGAAATGGTCTACCCAGAACCATGTAAGGACTTAATACGGCGGATAGCCGCAATCATTTAGGTTGGGATTATACCCACGTTTCAAAGGACATGGCGAGCTCATTGCGCTCGGCAAAAAAAACAAGTGACACGCTTGCTGCATAGTTGTCTTTAACCATCCTGCCGTAGAAATCCAAAAATAGCCGTGTCTTCAGCATTTTTGGAGCATATACTCCTTTTGGAGCGGCTTTAAAGGGAAACCAAAAAGGACTCCGCGGGCATTTTGGGGGGCCCGGTCTCCGTTGTCAGGTTTCATCTTAACCGGATGAAGCAGATCCCCCAATTGATGTTGATAGGAAATCAGACCAGGCCGCCAGGCCCCCTACAAAAGCGCGTGAGCCAAGCGACAGAGGCCCTCCAAGCGGGACGCCAAGTTCCTCGCGACAGGGAGCTTTCGGAAACACCGAGCCCGTACCTAGACTCTCCATGACCCCTAGAAAAAGGGGTCATAACGGTCATAACCCCTTAATTTGGGTAATGACCCCTAGAAGTCATGGAGACTCTAGGTACATGTTTTTTCTCCCCAAAGCCCCAAAACAGGAGCTTCCTCTACAAAGGAGAAAAAGAAACAGGTCTCTGGGCTTCATCGGGCTCCATGTTCCAGAAAAAGGAGACCATCTGTTGATTCCGTTAGCATTTCTGGTAAATAACTCGCTTCCAGGGGTTTGAACCTCGCACTGTACCCCTTCCGATTTCGCTGGTTTTGTTGTCAGAGGTGGGGCTTTCAATGGAAGACCCGACCCCGAAGCACTAGACACCCCGGAAATTGGTGGTTGGTCGAGTGGATGGCCCAAAAAAAGTCCAAACTTTATATTTACCACTAAAATGGTCTTCCCAAAAAGTTTAAAGTTCATGAACTCAGGAAGTGAGCCCAGGTTGTTTGAAGGTCCTACATCAATCGAATTTGGTCCTCTGGGTGGGTCAGGGGTCAAGGGGCAACATACGTTTCACTTCACATGCTTACGTTTCAAGGGGAAAGAACCAACACCCCAACACCCCCCCCCCCTCCCGACTTCGCTCGGGTTTTGGTTGGCGGTCTCAAAGCCAGGTTGTTTGAAGGTCCTACATCAATCGAATTGGAGCCTCTGGGTTTTAAGTTTCCTTTTGAAAGAACAACGACATTTCACTTGGAACCCTCTCCCTCCCCTCCCCTCCCCCTCCCGACGATTCACTCGGGTTTGTTAAAGACTTCTTCAGGCGCGCGTCACGCTATCGCCCACCAGGCCGTACTTCATCCGCTGGCTGCTGCCGATGTTTCCCGCCAGCACCACGCCCTTCACCAGGCCCATGCGAGTATTCACCTCTCGTGCCACGAGCCGTGTCGCGAGTGAAGCAATCAGGAAATGGGTGTGGTTCCTCTTATGGCATATGGAACCTGACAGGCTCCTGGACACTTTTCTTGTCAGGTTCCATGTTAATTGGCGGGAGGGTACCCCTTTGTGGGCCTGTTTTGAAGGGAAACCCTTAAGGGGAAACCAGCAACACAGGTGTCAAAAAGACACACCCAAACTCGACAGGAAGTTGGCCAAAGGAATCCGTTTGGTGGGTCTGACTTGGTTGAAGCAAGACTTTGCAACTTTCTTCGCAGGGGTTGTTGGTGTTGTGGTAAGTATTTGGCTAGCTGCATGTGAAAGTCCCGGTACCACGAACGACGTACAGTGTGGACTGTACCCCGCCTCTTGAAAACCCTCCAAATCCCCCCTACCTTGAGGGGAAGGGGATCCCCCTACCTTGAGGGGAAGGGGATCCCCTACCTTGAGGGGAAGGGGATCCCCTACCTTGAGGGGAAGGTATTCTCCACAAAAGCGAACATGAAACCATATTACGGAATCTCATGTCGAAATCCCCCCTCCCCCATGTCCATCTCTACGGGGGTTGAGATCCCTTGAACACGGAACTTGGCTGGGTGCTGAAAGACGAGCGTGCCCCGACTTCGCCTCTGTTTCCATGATGAATCCACATGCCTCCAAACTGGTTGATATATATATATATATATATAGATACATATATATTAGAGATATAACTCTACATATATATGCATGTATATATGTATAAACAAATATATGGCATACCCCGGTATGCCATACTATATCCACCCAGCTTATATCCATATCTCTTTTATGGCTTTTGTACTTTCTATATTCCATTACACCCCAAGGGGTAGCAGTTTGGGGGTACACCGAACATCCCAATTGGGAGAAATCCCAGAACATGAGGGGGATATCCACCACTTGGGCGTCCATATTGACTGATTTGCAGTAGCGTCCTGGGAAAAATGTTGGCAGATATGTCCAGCAGTGAGATCGGTTCCATTTAAAACCACAATTGGAAAATCAACAATCGTCATTTCAGCAAACGGACACATGCTGACTGATTGTTACTGACTCTATCTCCATAAGCTCGAGAACGCAAGCGAGCCAACACGCAGGATGCATATCAACCTTTACAACCCGACAGCTGCAAGAAGGCGTCATGCTCCGTGCTTCATAACTTCCGACCAATCGCATGCCCTAAAGCAGTCTTACCGTCCCTCGTGTTCCATGTTCCTGCGTGGAGGGGTATGCACTTTTCCCTAGGTCCTTGAAACATACAAACACGGGGTGCACTCAACACAACACCAAGAGCGGAAATTTGGAATACGTCAAAATCGGCCCCAAAAAATATGGTGTTCCTTTTCACATCCCTTTAAACTCTTCTCGCTGCCTCTTCATTCTCCGTTTTGTTTTCTCCTTTTTCTTTTTTTAATGAACGAACAACAAGCTCAACAACGTGCTCGCTCTTTGCGCTTCGTCTTCGTTGCCCTCCGCGTCTCGTCGAAGCCACGTCGAGGCGGCGAAGGCGTCGAGGCGAAGGCCTCGGGGAGGCCCTGCTCCAGCCACTCCGCGCGCAGCTCCTCGAGGCGCCGCTGCTGCGCCAAGGCGGCGCTCAGCGCCATGGCCGTGTGCTCGGGGCCTGGGAGGACGGGGGGAGGGGGAGAGGGTGTTTGGGGAGGGGAGGGGGATGGGGGGAGGAGGGGGGTGAAATGGAAATGGGGATTTGTTTGTATTATATTTGTTTGGAGGGCGCCTGGGGCATAGGTGTCCTTTTGGGGAAAACAGATGGGTTTCCCTGGTAGTTGATTGACCAGGTAAACCAGGAATCGCCCGCAATTTTTCGCCTTGGGGGGAGGGGTTGGGGGGGAGGACGGGGGGAGGGGAGCAACAGGAAAATGGGGCGACCAGGGGTGAAATGGAAATAAGGAGATCTTTTCTTGTTGGAGCTGTGGTTTTTGGTGGCTTCTTGGGAAAGCAACAGTGGAAACCATCTAATTTTAGGGGCACTAAAAAAAGGAAACACCCAAACCATGTAAAAGGAAAAGGAAAGACCCTTGCAATGTTGACCGCATATTCATCAACCCCAGCTTCTTAAATTCGGGGGTGGGGGCCCCTAAGTTTTGAATCCCCGCTAAACCCAGGGAAACCCCCTTACTCAGAAGCAGGGGTTGATTAGTACGAGGTCAACATTACTCACTGGCCCCCAAAGGGGGCCCAGAAATAAACGGTGATCACCTTTTGGAACCACTACTAAACAAGGACCGACTTTGGAAATCCCAAAGGTGAAAAGGTCGATTCGCTTTGGGCAACTGAGTTTAACAATGTACCGACACCGATTCATTTAAAACCCCTCTTGAGAACATGTTGCCCTAAGCCTTTTTGTTGACCTCTAGCTTAGGACAAACTCGTTGTCAACCAGCGAAGTCGTTCCAATCAAAACCTGGGGCATCAAGGCCACGTAAACGAACAGTTTCAACTGGCTGTCCTCAAGTCCCCTGCTAAAAGCGTTAAACATGGAACCTGAGTTGGTTTTTGGGGCTTCTCTTGAGTTGGTGCTACGAGTCCAAGGGCATTACTACTTTGACAAGACAACCAAATTAAGTCATGAACATCGGACCAGAATGCTAGTCCTTTCTTTGCGCGCAAAGATCGGGCAACAACTACCAGCACCCTCCAACGACTGTTATAACCAAGGCTATTGGCCTAGGGTAACTGGGATTAGGTGGCTTGCATGGTGTATAAGTTTTTACCTACTGACGGCTTTCTTTCCCAGCCAATCATCGCAGCATTTGAAGGAACACCCTAAAACTGCAACGGAACTGCAACGTGTGGTCCTTCCGAGAACTGCTCCTCCCATGCACAGCTCCAGTCTGGAAAGCCAGATCATTGGCACAGACCCAGAGAGCTAACTTTTAAACAAGCAAGTGGCCCTGATAGAGAGTTGCGCGACCCGGGCAAGGCCGCAGGCAAGAGGGGGGGGCTAAGAAACCAAAAGACTTTCGAGCGACTTCCTCAAACAAAACCGACCAACTCCAAATGACCACTTTAAGGGACTCCACCTCCCCCCAAAGTACTCACTTGCCCAAAGGACTCAAAAAATACGAGGTTCACCTTTTGGAATTTACTAAACGGGGACCAAGAAGAAAAGCCGGGGTTGTCAGGTCGGCTGTTCAGAAACGACAAGTGGAGCCACTTGAAGGGACCCCGGTAAGAACCCCCGCCTACTCCAAATACCCACTTTTTCTAGGTTTTGTTTTTTGGAAAACCCTGGTTTTTCAAGGTAAATACCTCCTTTTTTAGTAGAGGGTCGACATGATACCCTGAAAAAAGTGGGTACTTGGAGTCGGGGGCCCTGCTTTCGGGAGGCCTTTTCCCATCTTTTCCCAGACTCGCCTAGGTGAACCGGCACGTTCCACCAGGCCATGATGGCATCGCCGATGAACTCACCCACCACGCCACGCTTGGACATGATGATCTTGCTCATCTCATCCAAGTACCTAGTCTTCGAATGTCTGGTTCGTTCTCAAAAGTTCGCAGGGGAATAGTCCATACTAAACATTCGTGACTGCTCATCATCATCCAAGTACCTCTTCCATTTGCTTAAGACTCCTGGAAAAATAACACATATTTCTAGTAGTGACGTTCCCTTCTAAAATCAACGATCCACTGGGTTCCACCCTAAACGTGCCTTTTCTCGCAGGTTTTTTGGGGCTTTTCCTGGACGCACAGTTCATTCGGTTTTCCTACGTTCAGTTCTCGTTTCCGCGAACCGCGACTTCACCGAGCTTCAAGTGGCTGCATGTTTTTGGGATCTGGGCAAATGAAGAACACATCACCCGTCCTTTTGGTTTCCCTGGAGCAAAAGATACATTGGGGGTGTTTCCAAATGCCAAAAAGGGTACCAACTCAAAACATAAACAACCCCATATCAAACTTGGACGCCCTTGAGATATTTGGACGGAAGCCAAAAGGAAGCCAATGCAAGTTAGGGATCGGTACCGAACGGATCGATCCCCCTTCGAGAAACACCCGCGCGCCCGTCTTTTTGGGGACACCCCAAACTGGCGCAACGGCGTTTCTTTGGGCTTCCCCCTAGAAAAGTAGGGGCACCCTGCAAAAATCAACCAAAACAAACGACATCCGCCACACCGAAAACATGACCCTCCCCCCTTTCGGTTTTTCCCCAGGCACCAGGGTCCCGCATCCCCGCCATTGCCTTGCCAACCGCGCGAGATCGAGGGGCGTGGAGAGCATGGCCATGAAGGCTTCGGGCTCCAAGGACTCCGCGATGGTGGTGAAGTTGGCGATGTCGCTGAAGAAAATGGTCCTCGGAACTTGAGCTTCGATCAGCGTCTGGGAGGGGTTCGGTTCCGATCTCTGGCATCCTGAGGGGGAAAACTACTTCGATCTGGGAGGGGGTTCCCAAAAAACAAGAATGAAAGCTCGATCTCTGGCATCCTGCAAATGAGGGGGAACTGGTCTGGGAGGGGGTTCCCAAACACAGTTTGAAAGCTCGATCTGTGGGGCATCCTGAGGAGGGGGAACTGCAGCGAGTGGTATCCACCTGCCTTGAGGGCTTGGCTTCGATCTCTGGCATCCCTCGCCTTTTATGGGGAGGGGGTGGGGCTCGCATCTCTGGCATCTTGCTTTGAGGGGTTGATTCTGATTCCGTTCTTTGCAACCATCGTTCTTTTCAAAAACCAGCTCTTTTCCCCGGGTTTCCGGAGGTTTTCTAGAAAGATCCGGATCCCTGGGTTCAGAATGGAAATGGAAGGTGCCCCTAGAATCCTGCCTTGGGGAGGGGATTCCCAAACACCTTGCCCCTTCAAAAACCAAGAAGGTAATCGCTGAAGCTGGTCCTCGGCTTTTTGGCCAGTTGGCATCATCGCCTACTTGCCCCTTGAGCTACCCAAAGGCTCCAATTCGATTGTTTTAGGGCCTTCGAACAACCTGGTTTTGAGATCAATTCCCGGGGTGTGTAATGCTTCGGGTTCGGGTCCTCCATAAGCCGACGCCGATCGGAGCCTCTGAGCAGAAATGGGTGTGGCTCAAAATTAACCATTACGGGTTACGCAGGTTTTGGTCCATGTTTCCACTTACCCGGGTTCCATTTGGGTACCGGTTTTTGAGCCACAGCCAAATCAAGTGGTCGACCCTTTGGGCCCATAAATGGACCACCGAAAGGTTAGATCCGGTCGATTCGCTTTGGGCGACTGAGCCCGACAAACGTTCGGCGCTCGAGCGGCGCCGGCGCCCGGCAGAAGACGTTTGTTGTGTTTGGTCGGATTAAACAACAAATTGCACATTCTTCAACCGAACAAGTCCTGCATTTGCTTAAGTCCCCATGAAAAAATAGTATTTCTATAGTAGTGATCGATTCCCTGTGAAACCGTAACATACACGGGCAAAAAACCGGGCAACCGAAAAAAAGAGAAGCTCATTCATGTCAGCTAAATGGAAGAAGTGCTTCTGAAAGATCTTCTTCGCCAGCCGCCAGGTCTACCTAAAGTCTCCTTCTGACCCCTAGAAAAGGGTCATAACCCCTTAATTTTGGGGAAATGACCCCTTTTTCTAGGGGTCAGAAGGAGACTCCAGGTAGATCGCGGGGCTTGCGGCTTGCGTTTCGATCGGAGCCTTTGGGCTGAGAGTCACCTCCGCTCGGCCCATGCCGAGTTGGGCCTGCTTCTTGCTCTTCACCAGGATGTGCATGATATCGGGATCCATGTACCTGGGATCCCCAAACAAATCGAAAATTGGGTGGCACCTTCGCAACAAAAAAGATGTTCCGGAGAAAAAGGGGCCAAAGAAGAATTGAAAACTTGGGTCATGCAAACGTCTTTCAGGATACGGGCCACAAATTGAAAGATTGGCACATCCAAAACTAACAACAACAATTCCGGGGGAAAAAAGGGGAACACAACAAGCAAACTGCTTCTGTGCGCCCCTTTTACGTGCTTTCTGGGGGGTCTGGAAGCAAGCAAACTTTTGGTTAAACCTCCATTTGCTTAAGTCCCCTGGAAAAAATATACTTTCAGGAAGGACAAATTCCCTTTCAAACCAACCGGGGGTTTAAAAAAAAAATCCTTCACCAAATGGAAGTAAATAAGGCTCCATGACCCCTTAAAAATGGGGTCAGTACCCAAAATAACGGGGTCGTGACCCCCATTTTCAAGGGGTCGCGGAGACTCCAGGTATTTGGCACCACAGAAAGGCTGGGTCTTCGAACAAATCGGCGAGCCAGGATCGGGAAGCAACGACTCCAAGATACCTGGCGAAGGACTTGAGGCCGGTGACCATGTACCTGAGCAACGCTTAAATGGATGTGGTTGTCACACATAGGGTAACCCCAAAATGGGTTCCTAGTTAGTGGAAAAGTGGACTAAAACCTGCGGTCCCCTGGTGGTTTGATTTTGACCCATACCTAAAATAGCAACACTTAAATGAAAGGGGCGGGAGTGGATTTTCTTGGTTGATAGGTATCCAGCGGATCCATTGACCTGGTTTGGTAGGTATCCAGGGGTGGGAATCGCTCGTTGGGGGCATACTCAGAGGCTCCTGGCTTCGGCTTATTCCCGACCCCGAAGCATTAGACACGCCGAGAATTGGTGGTTGGTCTCAAAACCAGGTCGTTTGAAGGCCCTAAATCAATCGGGAGCCTCTGGGCAACCAAATTGGGTCTTTCGCAAAACTAGGGGACCGATTCCAGACGGTTGGTTTCCTTTTGTGTCAACTGTAGAAACCATCCGACTCTGCTCCAGATTTAGTCTACCATACTGTGGATAGTTGCGAATTCTATTTCGGACCACCGTTCAGAAACCCTGGAAGTTGCCTGGAAGGATGATTCCCCGGTAAATACCAACTAACATGGTTTCTCATGGTTTCAACATGGTGCAGGATTTCATCCAGCCACCGCATGCGTCTGTCCAATGTTTACGTCTAGAATCTGATGGTTGTTTAAAACATATGTCGAGATTGACAAAATTCTGCGGATAGTTACGAAATCATCTTAGGCACCACCGTTCAGAAGCCCTGGTTTCGGATTCCATTCCCCCAATAGCAACAAACTCCTAGCTTCCCCACCCAAGAAGCCCCGGTTTCGGATGATTCCCCGGAAAATTCCAACAAACTCATACCTAGAGTCTCCTTCTGACCCCTAGAAAAAGGGGTCATAACCCCTTGATTTTGGGTAATGACCCCATTTTTAAAGGGTCATGGATACTCCAAGTAGACATAGGTTTTAAAGAAACTGCACAACAGATTGTCTGGTTTCGTTTCATATTTAGTCACCATGAACATAATATTCTAGAAGTGCGTAACACATGTTATGCTGGTGTCCGTATATGTAGTCCATCTTCCAGTCAAACAAAACATATTCTACGAACAACATATAACATCATATGTCAGTGTAGTGCATACGTGTGTTCACCCTTTAAACAAACAAGCATAAGGGTGTCTTGTCTTGATTGAAATGTCCCCTTTTTGGTTGGTAAAGAAAAAGCCAAACGAAACATCGAGGCCATATTGGGGACGTCCCCTGAAAAACAAACCCAGCCATTCGAATAGCCACCAGGAAAGATAAGAAAAAACACGGCATGGATCTCTAGTCCATAATTTGTGAACCTTTCAACAAACAAGCATATATAAGCATATATATATATATATCCAACGTAGGGAAGAAACATCCACCAATGGATCGCTCCACCCGAGGGACCCGCAACTGGGCCCCCTCGATCACTCCGAATTGGCGTCTGGACGCCCGAAGGACTCCCTCATGTTCACCACCTCTTTGGGTACGCCCCGCTGGAAGCAGGATTCCACTTCTTGCTGCTCCTCCTCGCTGTCCTATGCGCGGTGTCCTTTTCTGGCGTCTGCTCAAGCCATGTTGCTTGTGTTCATGTTTTGGGGAGGGCTGGGAGAATGCGAAACTCAGGTATCGGTCTTACCCATTCTTTTGAGTTCCTTTGAGGATCCCTCTATTTTCAGATAGCCATCAGCAGTGATCGACTTGTGGTTGGACCTTAACTAGGTCCTCCAGTAGAGAGGTTAGAATAAGGGTACCCTTTTTTCCGTAGTCTATTTTAGGAGGGGGACCCTCCCCCAAAAAAGGGTAAAGGGCACAACTGGGGAACCTAACTAGTTGACCTAGGGAGGTGTCATCTCCCAATCGCTCGGCTCGCCTCAGATCCGCTGCTGCTGGTCTCGTCGCTGTACTGCCCGTGCCCCGTGTGCTCCAAGGGTTCCCCAGTCTGACCCGTGAAGGTCCGAGTGATGCGGCCCATCAGCCCGCCTAAGCGGAGCAACCATCAGCTTCCCCCGATGTTTGGTGGATCGCATTGGTGGGGTAAACCCCATTTACCCACAAACAACCAGAAGGCAACCAGAACCCCAACTCCGAATCCAAACCTTACCTGAAATACAGCAGACTTGCAATCATGTTCAAGAGCAGTAATCAAGACACTTGCTGGGAATAGTGAGCGGAAGAAGTGCTCGGTCTAAACAACCCACCACAAACCTTATTAAAAGAAAACACAACTAAACAATGCAAAACCAGCCGTTAAACCACACAGATTCTACAAGAAAACACAATTGAATAAACCTCAACAAGCTTGAACCGGTGATTGCCAGCACCCTAAGGGTTGTCAATACCCAAAAGGGCTCAAACAAGGCCGCAGGAATGGACTAAATGGACAATCCTTGATACCCAATACCTCCAAAATTGGACAAATGGACAACCCATGGAGTTGTGCAGGTCGAAGTCTTGTTCCCCCTGGGCTGCCCTCAGATCCCCTAAAAGTGACTAACTTTTAGTGGGTTACATTCGGAAAAAGCCTACCACTAAACACTAAACGGCTAAAACACAACGGAATCGGATGGCTGGCTTCGCAACCAAGTTCCTTGAACCGCCCTTCTAGGTCCTCCAGATTTGAGAGGTTAGAATGAGGGTACCAACTTGTTTTTCTGTCGTCTATTTTAGTAGGGGAACAGTCACAACCAAAAAAGAAACGGTAAAAGAGCGGGCACCTAGCTGGGGGACCTAGCTATGTTTGACCACCACCCCCCAGACCCTGTAAAAATGAGGTCATTACCTAAGATTAAAGGGTTATGACCCCTTTTCTAGGGGTCAGAAGGAGACTCTAGGTTTTTTGCTGGTGGTTTCCTTTCTTTGGGAGCCACCAAGTAACCCTTGCTAAGTTGAACCGGATGGCTGGGAGCCAAGGACAAATGGACAATCCTTGGTACCCAATACCTTAAAAATTGGACAAATGGACCGGCTGTGGCTCCAAACAGTGGGATCCATGTTTGGGCCCCTTTGGAACAAAGACCAAACTCTGCGTAACGCCAGGCCTTAAACTTTGAGGGTGGTGTTCGTTGTTTGGCTTGCGCCGAGCTTCGGCTCAGGCTCTGCAGCCTGGTGCTCTTGCGGCTCCCGCGCTCCGAAGGCTTCTTGCTGAGCTGCGAGGGCAGAAACTCCAACTTCGCCATGGTCAGCATCTCCGTGGAGATCTTCCTCGGGGAAAGAAAAACCAGCCCCTAATAAACACCCCCAGTAAAAGAAAGAAAAAACAGTTTATCAATATTTGGGGTGTCCCTCAGCTCAAGCATGGGAAGCCTTTCAAAGATGCCCCAAAATGGCCTTGGGTTCAAGCCTCTGAATGGGTGGGAACAGCCGCCGGGATTCCCCAGGTACCTCTTTTTCACTCGGTGGGTTGACATCATACCATCTGTCAACCAGTGGGGCTTGTAAGGGCTAGCTGTAGCTCAGTTGTTCAGTGACACTAGAAAAAAAAGAATTGGAACCCTTTTTGGGGTTTCAGCCTTTTTTAGTGGGGCGTCCACAAAAAAGGGGGAAAAAGGTTTTGGGCCCGATGGTTTTTGGGCCCTGCAATGGGAAGACTTCTACCTTAACTCAACTCCACCCTAATGACCCCCAATTGACAACCTCCACGCGAAGACTCGGTGGCTTTAAATGCCCCCAAGCAGAACAGTTTGTTCACTTTAAGTGGTTTAATGGAAAACCCTAGCTCAGCTGTTCAGTGACCCTAAAAAACAAAGGGAACCCTTTTTGGGGAAGACCATTTTTAGTGGGGCATCCCCAAAAAAAGGGGGACAAATGGTGCCACTGAACAACTGAGTCAGGGAAAAACCTCCACCCGAAGACTCCGTTGCTTATGTCCGCCAACCACTTAGGGGGTTGGTTATGTTAATTTATGGCCATATATTAAATTCCATCGTAATCGAAAAATGGTTATACTTCCCCAAGAGAAACTCCCCCCCTCCCCTTTAAGGTGCTGTCTGCTCCCCTGCTAAAAATATCTAACTTTTAGTGGTTTAATGGAAACTCGGGAAGAAAAACCTCCACCCTACTAGGCTGGAACTAGGACCCCAGCAACAAAATATATAGTTTTGCCTGGTTCGTGGAAAACAAAAGGGACCCCAAAAAATCAAAAGAAGGAAAGGGGGAGCTAATTCTGGGGAAGCCTAATGAACACCCCCAATTAATAAACCCCAGTTTACTAATTTCAGGGTTGTCCCTGGAAGTGGGGAGTGTTCAATTATTGGAGGGGAACACCCCCCCTGTTAATAAACTGGGGTTGATTCTTTTGGCGGTCAACATTAACTCGTTTAATTTATGCTCCCCTGCTAAAGTGTTTTTTTTCACTTTTAGGGGTTTAATGGAAAACTCGTGAGTTGGCAAAAAGTTGAAGTCCTAACATCCAAGCAACATGCACCAAAGCTAAGGCTCCCAAGTGTGTTTGGGCCCTCAAATGGCTTGTTTTCAAGGGTCCCTTGAGGGATCTGGGTTCTTGAGGGCCCGGGGCCTGCATTGCAGGGGCCATGAGCCTTAGGTAGGTTATTTTTAGGGAGAAAGGACACCAGTGCCATTCTAGGAAACGGACCGAGTCCTGAAATGAGACACACCCGTATGAGTAGCAAAAGGACTTGAACACCTTGTTTTTGCTAGGCACAACCACACCCAAAATTGGGGTGTGTGTTTGTTGACTGATAGATTTCATTTTTTGGGGGTCCAACAACAAAACAAGACACGCCCTGTTTTTTTGTTCCCAAAGAAAGAAACCGGCACGTGGCGCACGCCGACCTTCTTGGAAACCACTTTTTCATGGCGTGGGTCCCGGGCCCCACGAGGCCAGGAGCCCTGCTCTTGTCATATTGTAGTGTTCCCCTCAAGGGGCCTGACTCCCCACACACAGACAAATTACCCTACCTAGGTCCTCCAGTAGAGAGGTTAAATTTTAGTAGGGGAACCCTCCCAACCAAAAGAAGGGCACTGGGAGACCCAGCCCAGACAAAATACTCTTCCCACTTTAGTTGTCGTTCATTCGGAACCTCAATCCCAGGAAGCCCAGCCCATCCGCTCGACCGCAAAGGGGTTTTCGGTGAGAAAGAAGAGTCGAGGGCTTCCCATCCCAAGAACCCAGCGGCAGGGTGGGTGACCACTTTCTTGAAAACCACTTTCTCATGGCGTGGGACCGTGGGACCGTGGGGCCGGGCCAAGGCCAGCCCTGCTCCTGTCATATTCCCCTCAAATGGCCTGACTCCCCACACCCAGACCAAAAACCAAAAATCCCGAAAAATATGTCTCACTTTCGTGTTCATTCATTCGGGGTCGACAAAAAAACCCAGAAACGCCCAGCCCAAAATTCCTTCAAACACCACAAAGGGGTTTTCGGTGAAAGAAACAGTCCGGGAGCTTCCCGTTTACCCAAGAACCAAGCACCCCTTCTGGGGTCCTCCAGTGGAGAGGTTAGAATAAGGGTACCTTTTTTTTCTTGTCTATTTTAGTAGGTGATCCCTCCCCAAAAAAGGGTAAAAGGGCACTACTGGGGGACCTAGCCTTTATTTCACCATGACCAAAGTCAGCCGTACTGTGGATGGACGGAATCCTACACCTAAGAAACCCTGAAATGATTCGAGTCCCCTGTCAATACCAGACGAGTCTCCATGACGCTTTAAAAATGGGGTCATTACCCAAAATTAAGGGGTTATGACCCCTTTTTCTAGGGGTCATGAAGACTCTAGGTACCGCCTTTTGATCGGTTTGTTGAAGGGAAACCAAAATGACACGCACCAGTTTTGGGGTCCCCTAAAAAAGACTCCCCATATCCGGTGAACCCGGCTTTCCACCATTTGCAGGAAGCCCCCACACCCAAATCATAGCAACACCTTCAGCGGGTTCATTCGGGACAATCGGTTGCGCGTTGAGCTGGATTTCCCCGTCTCTCCAACAAAGGGAGTGACTCAGAAATGCGAAAAACCCTACAAACCTCTTGGGTGACTGACCCGCTTGGTAAGGGCTTGATATGCCCAGTTAGTAAGTCTCTTAAGTGGGATCACATATGTCCCCACTTGGGGGACTTAGCTAGGCAGAAGCTCTTGACGTGGGCAGGGTTCAAAGTTCTGGATCCGCCTGCACTCCCCGATGTGTCACATGCCACTAGCCCAACCCCTGATTTCTTAAGGACTGGAAAAGGCCGGCAAAAAAACAACAAAAACACAACAACAAAAAACGGGGTTCGGCTGGTTGGTTCGACCAGGCCGGAGGATAATGATTACTTGGTTTCTTAAAGCCCCGATTGATTCCCTGAGCACAAGCAAGAACAACGTCATTTCCTGTTGGATGCAAAGACAAAACAAAATCCAGTGGTCAAACGAAAACAAATCCGAATGGGGAGGTGGAATTGAGGTCCCCAATCAACTAGTTTTCTAGTATTCCGGCAGGGAAAATGGAAGTAGCGCAGATCCAGGGGTCGAAATCTCGACCGCCTCCCCGTAGTCTATACCCCTTACATAATAAGTGGTACATAACCCCCATACCTCCAAAACACATGCCAAAAAATATCCGCTGCGGTTGGACAACTTCATCCCCACCGACTTCTGTCCACCCAAAAGGGACCCCTAATAAAACAGTCACCCATGTTAGTGCCTGGTACGCTGCCTTTTTTGTTGGTGGCTTGGGGATTTGATCCCCTGGTTCTTGTAGACGGTACTCTTGATTCAGGGGGTAAGGATCACGAAGCATGGCCAAATATGGCCAAATTTCTCGCTTCTGCCGCCGAGGCGTCTTCAAAGGCCGGGTAACCACCAGCCCCACGCAGGTCATCAGCAATGCGCCCACCAGCGCCTGAGATCACCGGAAATGTTCATCCATAGCTTGGGTTCCCTGGCACACATGAATTGAAGTGGTGTACCCAAAACCCGCAAAGAGTCCAAAGCGCGGACTTCCTTTGTGGCTGGGAGTGGCGCTAATCTTCATCCACCCAGGTTTTTATTGGGGCTCATATGGGGTTGGCTAAAAAGGATGAGACCCATCTAAACCATATTAAATGCCTTCTGCAAAAAGGTACACAGCCATACATACTCAGCATGTTCCTTTCATCTCGGGGTACTAACAATTGATCATGCCATCTGCCAATTTTGCAATGTATCCAAACCCATAGAAGTGAAGGACCTTCATAGTGAGCCTGTTTCACTACCATACTGAAAATAAAAGAGTCAGATCGAGCAGTGGCAATACCCTCTTGACAACGTCAACTTGAGAAACCCCTCGAAATGCTCGCTTTGACAGGGGTCACTGGATTCTCGCTTTAGAAGTTGCAGCTAACTGCCACTTTTGGAGTTCCAAAAAAGGGGAAATTGAGAGGACCCGTTTAAGGGGCCGGATCCGTTAGGAAAACTTTGGCAAAGGAAACATTGCACAAGGCTGTTTCCCACTATGCAAAAGGACCCTGAGGAAAGGGGGACAGAGATGCACTTGCGCAAGATGTGGCGATTTGTTGTCGACCCCGGATGAATCCACCGGTTCTATTCGTAGGCTTCCCTACAAAAGTGTTCTGAATCTCGAAAAGCGGGGGACAGTCCCCACACAAAATCAACCAGCAAATTGAGCCCGGGGTTCCCGTCGCTCCGGATGCGGCAAGCCCAGGGAGCCATTTCTTCCAGACTGGAACTCCCGGACGCGAGAAGACCCGAAAAAACTGCGCCGGGTTTCGGGTTTCGGGTCTCTTGCCGGAGACTCGGGAAGCTGAGAGCTTGGAAGGGGCGTGCAAGTGCATCGATTTGCATAGCTCCACCAGAACCCACGGTTCATGGGTTTTTCAAAAATGAGAGTCTAGGTCCTCCAGTAGAGAGGTTAAAATAAGGGTACCCTGTTTTCGGTAGTCTATTTTAGTAGGGGAACCCTGCCCCGAAAAAGGGTAAAAGGGCAACTACTGGGGGACCTAGGAGTCTTCAACCATGGTTTTCCTACTGTCCCGTAACTTTTTGGGTTGAGGTGCAACCTCCAAGTTTGTCCCCTGCCCACCCGGCCCGGGTGCGCGGCCAAGTTAGCAAGTGGCTAATACCCTGAAATATAACCTACTGGCCACCAGCCCAACTCAGGAGTCTCCATTGACCCTTTAAAAATGGTTGGTCATCACCCAAAATTAAGGGGCTATGACCCCTTTTTCTAGGGGTCAGAAGGAGACTCTAGGACAAAGTAGGTGAAACACCCCAGGTGGCGATCACTTGCTACCTTGGCGAATCGAACATCCAAGTAGGAGGTCCGGGACCCCACTCCACTAGTCTGTCCACAGGGGAGATGGAAGTAATGGAGATCTCCTGCGGTCGAAATCTCCCTCCTCCAATTCAGTTTTTAAGTCAAGGGTACTTCCAAGGTTTTGGAGATACGGATGCTTATATACCACTAATATAAGTTCAGCTTGAAAGGAGTGGAATACCCCTAACATAGGTGGAACATTACCTCCATACCTCCAAACCCCAGAAACTCCTCTTGATTTTGGGGGTGAGGATCGCCAAAGCTTAGCCAAACTTCTCACTTCAAATATGTTGGGACGGCGGACTCCGAGATATGGCTATGAATTTCAATTCGTGACGCATTTAGGTGGACATCAGACTTCGGTGGGGGTTTATGTCCACCAACCACTTAGGGTTCCTTACTCAAATTCATGGCCATTCTAAAATCCTTAGGAATCAAAAATGGTGGTCATACTAACCCAACCATTGTTCGTGTGGCAACTGAAGCAACCACCTAGAGTCTCCTTCTGACCCCTAGAAAAAGGGTTCATAACCCTTTCATTTTGGGGGCAATGACCAACCAATTCTAAAGGTGCAGAAGGAGACTCTAGGCAGATGTAGGGTTTAAAGAAACTGCACAACAGATTGTCTGGTTTCGTTTCGTAAGTCGTCACCATGAACATCAGATCCTAGAAGTCAGACATGACAAGCTGGTGTCCGCATCTGGCTTGAGCCCTGGTTTCCCCATGGCTGGATGAGCCTTGGGCCTTGACCCCAGACCATTGGCTCTACTTCGGAGGACTCAAGACGCAGGGCCGGCCAAGGCGCATGAGTACTGCTCCGAATGAACAAAAAAATGAGCCTTTGGGCCCTCCTATCCGAGAGGGGGGTGGGGTGGGGGGGGAGGGGGGAGAGGGGGGTAGCCCTCCTATCCGAGGAGTGGGTGTGGGGAGGAGGGGGGGAGGGGGGGAGGGGGGACCTTCTCGTCTCCGAGTTGATTTTCTTCTTTCTCAGGCGCAAAGACGGCGCAGGTGAGTAGAGTCTTCACCTCCTGACGGTGCAGGTCCTCCTGGCGGTGGAGGTCGAGAGGTCATCCGAGAATCGAGGGCTTGGTTGCTGACCCGACCCCCCTGCAAGAAGTTTCTCACTTTTTGGGGGTTTAGTGGAAAACCCAACTTGATTTCCTGAAGAGTTGAAGTCTAAAGATCCGTTGGTCAACAGCAGTCAAGAGGGACTCCAAACGGGGATTGCTCGCCTGGAAGGTGGGGCCCCAGCCCAAATTGGGGGTAGTTCAACTCAGCTCAAAAAACTGGAGAAACTGCAAAAACAAGGCGGCCATCTTTTGTTCAACTCGGCCCCTTTGAGGTTGTTCATCTTTCAGACCCTCGAAATCGGCGGGTGAATTCAGCTTCTTTCGGTGTTCGCGCCCTTTTATTTGGGGAATGACCAAACCATTTTTCAAGGCTCATAGAGACTCCAGGTACCCTCAAAAAACAGCCGCACCCATGTGTTTTTTTCGAAGGTTGGGGGCTTGTGGGCAAGCACTTGGTTTGATCTTTACTCGGGGATTCCAAACATGTATCGTCGGGTTGCTTTTTTCTGGTACGTTAGGGGGTAGGCTACAGACTGAGGGCTTGGTTCCCCACACTTTTTTTCAAAATCTGCCGTTGGGTATGGTTCTCCTAAGATCTCATACTCCACTGAGGTGAAATGGCTGTGGCTCAAAAAACCGGTACCAAAATGGAACCCTGGTCAGTGGAAACGTGGACCAACACCTGCGTAACCCCTCCTGTTAATTTTGAGCCACACCCAAATGGTAATGTTGATCCCGGATTAATAAACCTCGGTTTACTAGTATGGTGGTGTTGCCGGGTTTAGTGGGGATTCAGACCACTTTTGGAGGGGAACACCCCCATATTAATAAACCGGGGTTTATTAATCCGGGGTCAACATTATGGTTCTTTTCCAAGAAAGATTTCAAACTCCACTGGGGTGAAATGGCACAATTCCATGCTGGATAAATAAAGGGGATGACGATAGACCAAAATGGGCTGGAGGTGACAACTGCTCTGTGCGAGGGAAAAGTCATTGCCTCCCTGAGTAATGTTGTTGTGTCTACTTGCCCTGAACTACAGTGAAGAGAGTCACCTCCAAAACACACCCACACACACACACACACATCAACACACACACACAGAGGTAGAAGCAAACGGCACTATGACTCGAACCCTCAAATCAGCGCCAGCTGTGTTGCGTCCCGGCCGCAAAAAACAAAGCATTTACCATTCAAAACCCGGATACCCTCCCTCCCACAAACATCATCTGTGGCAGGGTACCTGTAAGACAAAAATCCTCTTGCAGGGACCCGCTGTCAGGTACCATGGCAACGTGGGAGTGAGGGTATTCCAAATAACAACCTAAACCAAGTTGCCGACACTTGGCGATGGCTCAAAACCAATCAGCTGGGGCTACGTTTTGTTTTGGTCTTTGTTTCCATAAGGTGTGTTGGGTACGTTTGTTTCGAGCCGCGGCCCTTTTTGAGGAGCTGGCTAGTCCATTTGTTTCCATCAGGTGCCAGTTAGGTACGTTTTTTTTTTTTAAAGCCATGGGCCTGTTTTGGGGAGCTTCGAGGGCCAGGGCTGGAACGGCGGATCCAAAAAGCTCCCGAACCCAAAGATCGTGTTGTTTTTCTTTTTCTCCGAAACAGAAAATTCGGGAAGTAGACATAGGCAAGAAGCTGTGCAACCAGGTGCAAAATAATTAACACTCGGTGGTTTTGAGTGACCCGGGAAAAAAAGAAGGATTGGAACCCGATTTTTTTGGGCTTGGACCATTTTAGTGGGGCAGCCACCCAAAAAAAAACAGGACAAATAATTGGAGCCACTGAACAAGTGAGAACAAGCGCTCACAGTTCTAGGTGTCCTTTTGATCGGTTCGTTTGGATTGAACTAAATGGAAAAGCACTGGTTTAGACATGGATTTACTCCAGTTAGGGATACCCATCTAGTTTTCCCAAAGGCCACCTCTGACCAAAAAAGACGCGTCTTCAAGCAACCTTGATATCCTAGGGCCCCTTGCCAGTAAAACCTGTAGGGGTGTGTCATAAAACCAGTCTCTAAACTGAAAACTCAAAGTCTTAGGAACCTCTCTGGGAAGTAAGGTTCGTCCAATGTACACATTTCAGCCTGGAGATTGCCCACCTCCACACGCACGAATCTTTGCTGCTTCATTCTATGAAAACCCCGGTTTTCCGCTCACTTTCTGAGTGGACTGGCCAAAACAAGTCTGTCGACATCTGTGGACTTTTTATCTACCACTAACTTGGTCCAAGCCCAAAACATTTAACAGTCCGAAACGGAACTCAGGAAGTGAGTCCAATGCACATTGAAAAGCACTTTTTCATAGACAAATGTCCCCAGGTTTGGTGGGGACATACCCATGACTCATCCCATGAGCCAAGGTAAATGCCTCCTTCTTTAGTCAGTTGATATCCTGAAACAATACGGGTATGCGGCACTCGAGAGCGCCTTGAGCCCCAAAGAAGTGTCTAAGCACGACACAGGGAAACTGAAAAGCTGAAAACAAACCCAACCCCCCACCGCGCCCCCCCCCCACCCACAAACAAATCAAACATAGAAACTTGCAACGCCACTTTTGTGGTACCCTTTCAAAGCTCATCCGAGTTGGGTGTGGCTGTCAGACATAGGGTAACCCCAAAATGGGTTGCCCCAGCAAAATGGAAACAAGGACTAAAATTCCTGCGATCCGTATCCTGGTTGAGTTTTAACCCATAACCCGCCTCCTGAGTTCATGAACGTCTTAAACTTTTTGGGCTCGGACCATAGTGGAAGACAAGTGCTGGGGCGTCATCCCCATTGCTGGGGCAACAATGGCTTTTAGCAATGGACGGCCCAAAATGTTGGTTCCTGAGTTGAACTTCAAGCTTCTACCCAGAGTCTCCATGACCCCTTAACAATTGGTACATTACCCAAAACAAATTGGGGTCATGACCACTTTTTCTAGGGGTCAGGAGACTCTAGGTAACCTAGGTAGTGCAAACCAACCATTGTGGGACGTATCCATGTTGGGGCGTTTTCTGGGTCATCCACTCGAGTGAAATTTTCGACTCTCCCACTCAGAACGCTAAAAATGTTCGACTCTCCTCGAGGTGCTGGCGCGTGGACTGGCTGCGGCTGGCCGCCCAGGCTTGCTGCTGCCAGCTGCTCATCATGTAGGTGCTCACCTGGGTCAAAACCTACCCAAGAATGGAACCCTGGCATATGAGCAACTTGCGAAACCTCTTGTATAGCCAAAGGACATCGGGTAGAGGTTATCATTTGTTTGTTTTCTGTAACCCCTATCGCTTCGCCTGCTTTTGGCACGTTCTACTGCACATGTTGGTATGTCATGAGCCCCTTACTGTAAGCGGTTGGGGTCTCCGAAAGCTCCGGATGGTCCGCAGAAGCTGCGGAGGGTTCCGTTGCGGCGGGTTCCTTCGGAGGGATTGGAGCGGTTCGGTTGGATTCTGGACAGCTCCAGAAGGTTTGGTTTCATAGACTATATAGGTCCTCCAGATTTGAGAGGTTAGAATAAGGGTACCGTTTCTTTTTCCGTAGTCTATTTTAGTAGGGGTCGGGGAACCCTCCCCCAAAAAAGGGTAAAAGGGCACTGTTGGGGGACCTAGTAGAGCCGTTGCTGAAGTGGGTGCCTATGTGGAGCGGTGGCAAAAGGTTCCCATGAGCTTTGGAGGGGTTCCGGGGGTAGCAAATGATCCAAGGGGATGGTCACTGTTGCGATTGACGCCGGGGTTTATGTCCGCCTAGGTCCTCCAGTAGAGAAGTTAGAAAAAGGGTACCCTTTTTTCTGTAGTCTATTTTAGTAGGGGAACCCTGCCCCGAAAAAGGGTAAAAGGGCACTACTGGGGGACCTAGCTGCCAACCAATTACAGTAGAACGATGTTCCCCACTCAAGCTCAACGTCTTTTTGGGGGACCACCTTTTGGTCGATCTAAAAAAGCAATCAGCATTTAGGGCATCCCCGAATTCAAGACACGACCCTTTGTCCAACCTCCCTCCAGCATCACATCGGAAGCTTATCTGACCAAAAAAGCGGACAGAAGCGTTCTGAAGGGGGAAAAGCTCCCACGCCGCAACTGTTTGCTTTGGGGGGGGGGGGGGATCTATTTTGCAGGGCGCCCTTTGTTGGGTTTTGCTGCTTTGGACCATCACGGCGGTTCCAAGCTATTTTCGGGGGTTCCCCCATGTAGAAACAAACCATTTCCCTTAGGGTCCCGCGTAGCTTCTGAGGAAGTACTTCTAATTCCCGTACATGCTCAGACCAGGTTTGAGGCCGCGTCCATGCTGAGACACTTTTGGGGCAGCGGGTGGGCATAGGGGGACCAACAACACCGATCAGTAACTAAGCACCCCACATGGTCTGGCTTTTCGATCGCGAGATTCTAGGCAGCATTTGCCCCCAAAATGTGGCCAGCATGCAGGGAGGGCCCATGTACGTGCTTGGACACTTTCCGGGCCCAACCGCTCGATCCTAGGCGAGGGGCATATATCTTTCCACACTCCAGCACTAATGCTTCAATCACTTGTGTTCAACCCATGCCTTCCTTGAGCCTTTTGACCCTTTGTTTTGTAGATCTTTCGACTGCAGTGCATCAAGTGGGTTAGAGCACGCTAGCCCAGGAATCCAACCCAACGATGCCAGTTTTGGGCAACTCGAAGAGGGGAGTAGAAACAAGCAGGTGCTGAGCAAACTGTGGCCTTTTTCTTGGTGTGGGGGTTTCGTGGCTGCGGGATTTGTAGCTGGACTAGTCTCATGCAGAGTTGGAGCCAATGCGTGAGTTCATTGAGGCTGCAATCAAGCGCTTTACTAACCCGATGCTGATGTTCAGAACATGCCTCCCCGAGAAACGCTTGAGGGAGCAGCATCAGCGAATTAGGTCACTCATCATTGATAGCCGTTCGACAATGGCTAAATTGGCCTGGTAGTCCAACAACGCCAAACCTCATCAATGGTACAGCGACCCATGAGGAGTGTGTTCAGCCTGCCCATGCCCCGTGACATTGGAGCCCTGCAGGAGATAAAATCTGTGGGCCGTCAGGACTTGGAAACCGTTTTTGCTCAACTTGTCCAGTGTGTTCTGTAAACAACAAGCATGCAAGTTTGCGACTCTGGAAGCTGGGGCTGCTTAGCCGTTCTTACTGAGCAAGGCTTCTGCCAAGATGTCGATGATGGCCTGATGCGTGCGCCTTTAGGCGTTGCAAGTTTGCAAATTGCTGTGTTTGTGTGTGTGTGTGTGTTTTCCCGGCCTACTGGTGTTCCACTTTTTGGGGCATGTGGGCGCTGATCGGAATACACGCGTTACCCTCGATAACTGGCAACCCTGGCCTTTTTTAAAGCAATTCTGAAGCAATATATGCCTCAATTCTACAGTACATTAAATTAGGATCTTCTGATTTGGCGTAGTGTCCAGGGTGGGCTCGAGGATATGACGTGTGGCTGCCTGACATTGAGGTTGGTAGCGCAAAAGGCAATGTGCCCCAAGCAAGGCCAGGCTGCTGTGTAAGTCAACCGCAACCCAGCTAGCGCTGGCAGCCTCGACAGCCAACCTTTACCGCGTAGCCCTTGACCCTGGTTATCCGTGTATGGGTCCACCAGGAAGACCTTGGCCGAATCGCCACACTCACAAATCGGTCATAATCTATTCAGGGTGCACATCGTCTAGGTTTGGTGGGACCGCTGGGGCTAAATGAATGGAACCGGCTTCCAAGCGCGCAAGCGGCATAGTTTGGGCAAGCCGCAGTTTTAACAGGGAGCGATGCAGTTGTCTTCGAAAACAGACCCAACCGGGCAACATATGCTTGGATTTGCAGGGCTTGCAGCTTGACGCCCCCATTTCCGGCGAGAATTTGCTTGGCACGTTTTGTTTTTTCCGGGAGCTTCTTCTGACCAGTGTTCGCAACACTACAAGTTTGTTTCGCATGGGGTCCAAGTAGGATGATGTACTTCACCCCAAAACCCTTAAACACACTCATGGCCTCGACGGCCTGAGGGGGCTTTGAGGTGTGTGCTTGTTTCCAAAGTTGGACCTTTGGTTGCACCTTGGGGTGCAAAGCCAATTTCCGGAAAACATGCTGAATTTGACTTTTTCCAGACATGCCGTGTGCGACAAAGCACACAAGCCTCTAAGTGGCCCAGCCTGAGACGCAAGTTGCCCACGTTTGTTTTGAGACAAGACCAGCATTCTGAAGGGTTGGTTGATGAGGAATTATTCGGGATTTTGGGCCAGCTCGTCAGGCGCTCGGCAACCCTCCAAATATTTGGCCACAAATTCGCATTTCCGCGTTGAGGGCTTCGTGACACGGCCAGCTCATGGGGAGTCTAACGAAATCTAACGAAATCTAACGCAAATCTAACGCTGGAAAGTTGCCCAGCACGGTCATTTAACGCAATTTTCACGAATCTAACGCAAATCTAACGCTGCTTGGTTCGCATCACCATTCAACCAAGCATTGCCTTGAAATTCTTCCCACAACCGCGGAACCGCAAAACCCACCCAGTGCAGCCCAATCAAGGCACATGTTGAGCCATTTGTCTAGACGTGGGTAGATGGCTCAGCAATGGCTTCCTGTCCCGTCATCCCGAAAGCACTGAGAAAGCCTATTCAAACGACTGCGCGAATGCTGTACATGAATAGGTGTCAGAAAAGGGCTTCCAATTCAACACATCCCAAACGCACCCGATCAGTGACTCCTGCATGCCCACCAGTTGTACATGGGCAGGTGTCAATAGAAGGTCTTCTTTCAATAGCTTCAATAGTTGCTACTTGGACCGGACCCCATGCGAAACAAACTTGTGGTGTTGCGAAGACTGGTCAGGAGAAGCTCCCGGAAAAAAAAAGAAAAAGAAAAAACAACAACGTGCCACGCAGTTCCTCGCTGAAAATGGGGGGGGGGGGCGTCAATCTGCAAGCCTTGCATATCCAGGCAGGTCACCAATGTTGTCTGGTTATACTCTGGTTGGGGCTGTTTTCGAAAACAATTGCAGGGCTGCCCAAACTATGCCGAGCGTGCGCGCTTGGAAGCCGGTTCCATTCATTTAGCCCCAGCGGTCCCACCAAACCTAGACGACGTGCACCCTGAATAGATTATGACTGATCTGTGAGTGTGGCGATTCGGCCAAGGTCTTCCTGGTGGACCCATACACGGATAACCAGGGTCAAGGGCTACGCGGTAAAGGTTGGCTGTCGAGGCTGCCAGCGCTAGCTGGGTTGCGGTTGACTTACACAGCAGCCTGGCCTCGCTTGGGGCACATTGCCTTTTGCGCTACCAACCTCAATGTCAGGCAGCCACACGTCATATCCTCGAGCCCACCCTGGACACTACGCCAAATCAGAAGATCCTAATTTAATGTACTGTAGAATTGAGGCATATATTGCTTCAGAATTGCTTTAAAAAAGGCCAGGGTTGCCAGTTATCGAGGGTAACGCGTGTATTCCGATCAGCGCCCACATGCCCCAAAAAGTGGAACACCAGTAGGCCGGGAAAACACACACACACACACACAGCAATTGGCAAACTTGCAACGCCTAAGGGCGCACGCATCAGGCCATCATCGACATCTTGGCAGAAGCCCTGCTCAGTAAAACCGGCTGAGCAGCCCCAGCTTCCAGAGTCGCAAACTTGCATGCTTGCTTTTTACAGAACACACTGGACAAGTTGAGCAAAAACGGTTTCCAAGTCCTGACGGCCCACAGATTTTACCTCCTGCAGGGCTCCGACGTCACGGGGCATGGGCAGGCTGAACACACTCCTCATGGGTCGCTGTACCATTGATGAGGTTTGGCGTTGTTGGACTACCAGGCCAATTTAGCCATTGTCGAACGGCTATCAATGATGAGTGACCTAATTCGCTGATGCTGCTCCCTCAAGCGTTTCTCGGGGAGGCATGTTCTGAACATCAGCATCGGGTTAGTAAAGCGCTTGATTGCAGCCTGAATGAACTCACGCATCGGCTCCAACTCTGCATGAAACTAGTCCAGCAACAAATCCCGCAGCCACGAAACCCCCACACCAAGAAAAAGGCCACAGTTTGCTCAGCACCTGCTTATTTCTAGTCCCTCTTCGAGTTGCCCAAAACTGGCATCGTTGGGTTGGATTCCTGGGCTAGCGTGCTCTAACCCACTTGATGCACTGCAGTCGAAGGATCTACAAAACAAAGGGTCAAAAGGGCGCAAGGAAGGCATGGGTTGAACACAATTGATTGAAGTATTAGTGCTGGAGTGTGGAAAGATATATGCCCCTCACCTAGGATCGAGCGGTCGGGCCCGGAAAGTGTCCAAGCACGTACATGGGCCCTCCCGCCACATTTCGGGGGCATGTGCTGCCCAGAATCTCACGTTCGAAAAACCGTCCTGAGAATGTGCATGGACCATGTGTAAATCAAACATGCTCATACAACGTTTCTTTGCGACCTTGACCAGCCCCTCTGAGGCATATGGCCCCAAAAAGGCCTCAGCACGCACATGGGGCCTCCGACCATGCTGAGCATGTTTTTGGTGAACGACAGTGCTGGAGCACTCACTTCGAAAGACCTTCCTCAGAAGGTACATGGACCCTTAGGGTTTGACTATCCAACCACCAACCTCCCAATCCCGTTTGGTGGTGGTATCCATCTGCAAATGCCCGCTTTGGGTTTGAACATTTGAAAATAGCCAACACTCTAAGCCCGACACCGCCAAGTATTTCGTTTCTTTCGCGGGAGAGTAGGTTTGAAGACCACCCCGAACCCATAGCTTTGGTTATATTCCGACAATACCCAAAACCGATACCAAGCGGCAAACCCACAGCTCCATGTTGCCACATGGGGCATGTTCCCCCCCCCCGTCCCTTCGACAGCGCCCGAAACAAACCGTTGACTGCTGCTTCGCGGATTTTGTTTCCGTTGCTTCACGGCTGAAGGCCTAGGACTCATTAGAATCCCTACCCAGAGGCTCCGATCGGCTTCGGCTTTCAATGGAAGGCCCGACCGCGAAGCATTCGACACCCCGCGAATTGGTGGTTGGGACCCGGTCTCAAAACCAGGTTGTTTGAAGGCCCTAAATCAATCGAATTGGAGCCTCTGGGTATGAAACCAGGCACTCCAACCATCAACCAAAATTTGAATAGGGCTGTGGGGCGCTATGGGTGTAGTTCGTTGCCTTTCCAGTCTGTGCCTCCTTTGGGGTGTCTAAAGAAGCAACCAAAGGTGCGGCTAAGCCAGTTGCAAGTTTAAGATGCTGTTGGTTCTGAACATACACAACCCCCGCCCCACCAATAAGTCAAACGGCTAAAGACACAACCAAAACCTCCGTTTGCTTCTGTCCCCTAACAGGTCATGTCCCCTCACGAAGCGATCGAGGCGCTGGGGTGGTGATGATCACAATCCACCTGAGCTGCGCCTGGTGTCGTGGTTTCATGGCTTCTGAAGACAGGTTGACGTGCTGGGGGGTTCCGACGACCCTTCAAACATACTTCAAACGGAACCCCCGGCCTTCAAACAGAACGGTTCCCTTGGATCTTTTTTTTTTGGTTTCCCCTCCGCAAAACGTGTCCTGAACGGGAATCTATCACTACTCTAATTAAGGGTAGCTTCCATGTCCATTCTGAACCCAGGGATCCGAACCTTTCTAGAAACCACCAAAAAAGCCCTGGAAAACAGATCCGGCTTTTGATAAGAACGATGGTTGAAAAGAATGGAATCGGAATCAACCCCTACAATACGCAAGATTAACATGGACCCCCCTAAAAAAAAACACATCCAGATATAGAGGAAGCTCTTCTTGGAGCCATCTTCTTGGGCTCCTTCCGTTCAAGCAGCAAACATCCAACATCCACAGGGAGATCCTCTAAACCTAATGCCTCGGAGCTAGATTAATGAAGGCAATCAACATCTGGAATAGACCAAGGTAATACGCAGGGCGCAACTTTCAAATTTTGCAACCGGGATGTGTGTCTTACCCCCAGACAATTATGTTTTTCTTGTAGTTTCCCCGTTAGACTCCCTTTAAAGGAGTGCCCTCCAACAGAGGACACCCCCCCATTTAAGGGCGGAGATACTCTCATCAATTTGTGGTTCCCTTTTCAGCGAGGAATGTAAGGTCCAGGGGTGGTTGTACATACCCCTTTTACATACCCCTTGGCACATGAACCCAACAGGCCTGCTGATCTTCATACCATATCCTCTCCCCAAAAGGGGTATATATTATATGGCCATGGGTCAAAAGCCCGTACCCCCAGTGAACATCTCAATGCCCACTAAAATAGACCAAAATGGGTGGTGCACCGGGACTCCCAAAATGGGATCCCATTGGTGTTGACCCACGGCCATATACCCACTTTCAGGGAAGCCAAGGAACCAGTATGAACAAGGGGAATGCACCTGGAGTCTCCATGACCCCTTAAAAATGGGGTCATTACCCCTTAATTTTGGGCAATGACCCCATTTTTCAAGGGTCATGGAGACTCCAGGTACTTCCACCCTTAAGGGCTTTCCGGGAGAGAAATTCCAACCGTTTGCTATCCGTCTTGATCCGATGTTTTTTGCGCGCTCGCTTCTCAGAAAAAACACTCTCGTCTTCCCCGATTCGTCGTGACTTGTTGCTTCAAGTTGCTTCAGTCCCCGGAGGAAACCAGTGGTAAAATGGATTCCCCCTAAACCCCAACCATGATAACATCTCAGTTGTTCAGTGACCCTGAAAAAAAGGGAACCCTTTTTGGGGAAGACCATTTTTAGTGGGGCAGCCACCAAAAAAAAAGGGGAAAAAGGGTGCCACTGAACAACTGAGAAATGGATTCCCTCCAAACCCCGAAGGGGAATATATGAAATTTGGCCAAGCCGTTTTCAACCAGTCCCGCTGAGTCTGGAATCAAAACAACGCGTTGCCGGAAAGCTTCCTCAACGCGAAGGACGGCCTATTGGTTCGGAGTGGCGTCAGCAAAAACGCAACTCGTTGGCGGCAGGGTATATGTTTTATGGCGCGTGTGGGGCGCACGGAACAATATTCAAACGTTGTTCTCAAATGGAACTGCCCATTTCTGGGTATGATAGCAAACCACCCTGTTGCTGTTGCTTCTTCTTTGTATGCAGCCGAACGACACATGTCAACCATGAAGTTGTTATTGTTTCTTTTTCACATCGAGCCAACTCTACATATAGCTTGCTGGTGCGATAGGTCGGGAATGAACCCAGGCTTCGGTCCCCTAGGAAACCACCATTGGGATGGTGTAGAAAGGTCATTCGGTTGAGCCATTTCTCATTCCCTGCCGATCGCACCAGGATAACATGTGTTCCGCTCTAGTGGTCTGATTCCAACCACATTTCATAGGCACAAGCACCCCCGAATTGAACAAACTGGGGCTGATGGGGCCGAGCGCTTAGAAGAAGGGTACCAACTTTTTTCTGTACTCTACTTTAGTAGGGGAACCCTCCCCCCAAAAAAAGGGGTGAGAAAGGGCACCTAGCTGGACCTAGTCTACATGGCATCGGGTTTCTGGAGAAGATCATAGCCCGCCCGCTGAAGACACCACTGGAGCCGGCCTGAAAGGGCTCAGTGAGATCCATGTAGGTGAAGAGCAGGCGCCCGTCGTCCGTGGTCATCGTGCCTCACGCGTCAAACCCAAAGACGAAAACCGAAAACCCCCCCCGAACCTTGGAGGGGGCCAAAACCACGGAGAAGTCGCTCGGCCTTCCGCATCTGGGCCTTCGAAATGTATGATCCCCCTTCTAAGAGGGTCCAGGTCTTCGAGTGGAGAGGTTAGAGGTTAGGGTATCAACGATTTTTCAGGACGTCTATTTTAGTAGGGGAACACCCTCACCCAAAAAAGAAACGCTGAGAAATGGCACCTAGCTGGGGGACCTAGTGGCTTTGTTTTGCTGGTTTTTCGGGCTAAGGATTTGACCAAGCAGCAGCTGCTCCCATTCCCGAATCGGAATTTGGAGCTCCGGGGGGCCAACAGTTGTTGCTGACTCTGCCAAAAGTTTGCTCTTTGTGGGTCCAACGAGGAAACTTCGCGGTTGAAAACCCAACAAACGAAGTCCAAACCTAGAGTCTCCTTCTGACCCTGTGAAAAATAGTTGCTCATTACCCAAAAAAAAGGGGTTATGACCCCTTTGTCTAGGGCTCAGAAGGAGACTCTAGGAAGACTCGTTACCAAATAGCAAGCAAGTATGTGGAACTCGGGCTGATCTCACCAAACCTGAGCGGGCCCCAAGAAATCCTTCCAAACTTTAACTTCCGTTTGCTTAGGCCGCCTGGAAACAACAATATGTCAGTAGAGATAGAGTCCCTTTAAATCCAACACCGGAAAATGAACAAAACACACGTCATCAACTGGAAGTTATGGGGCTTGCTGACATGGTAACCCTGGGCTTCAAACCACTGTTAAAACAATGGCGGATCATATCACCACCATTTTCTTCTGGGAGCAAGTCGAACCTGGGCTCTGTTTAACCCAACCACCAAACCGACAAACATATCAAAAAGCCGAAGTTGAACCAGATGGCTGGGCTTGCCACCGAGAACAGTGTAAGGTTTTCTGAATCTGGTTGCTTTCCGTGCTCTGATCCCCTGCAGGTTTGTTTTGCTTGGTCAAATGGAACCAACTTGAACCGTAGGGCCAGGTGAGTCACAATCAAAACCCGGTATTAAAATGGTCGTAATCCCAGAACCATGCTTCAAGAATCAAGAAGGCGGAATTCCGCAGCTGTTTATGGCAGGGGGATTGTCCCTTACTAACCTTCATCTGATGCTAACCCCGGATTAATAAACCCCTGGTTGATTAATAGGGGGGTGTCCCCTTTTAGTGGGGATTCAGACCACTTTTGGAGGGAGCACCCCCCTAAAAATGCGACGGGTGTATTAGGGTCAACATTACCCGGGTTTTTAGCAGCTGGACTTCCATTTGCTTTTTTCGCCCCCTGGAAAAAATAAACATATGTCCAGTAGTGAAGTCGATTCCCTTTAAAACCAAGAGATGAACAAAAAAGACATTTCAGCAAATGCAGGGGTGTCTAATGCTTTGGGGTCGGGTCTTCCATTGAAAGCCAAAGCCAGGAGCCTCTGGGTTGGTTAAATGGAACCAACTTGAACCCTAGGGCCAGGTTCCTTCATCTACCCAACCATAAAGAGCTCCTGTTCCTTACTCAACCTGAGCCACTTTCATCTACCCGAATCGTTTTTGAGCAAGTGGCTCAGCTTGACCTTGACACTTCCCAGTCAATCAACCCCACCGAGGCCGCTTCCGCTTTCTCTCTCTCTCCGGGGCCCGCGCCATTCTTCGGCAGCTGCTCCAGGGAGCCATAGGCACGCAGCAGCGTCCTCGGAACAAGCGAGCCGCCGGGGAAAAAACGGGGGGGGGGGGGGGGCCCAGGGGTCAAATGAAAGGGTGGCCGTCTTTCTTGTTTGAGCTGGTCCCTGTTTTTTGTGGGCTTGACACAGAAAAAATCGAGGGAAACCAGCATTTTGGGGGTCCCCCCCAACATTTTTTTCTGGGAGTTGGTAGTTGGTACCTTGTCTTGTTTTGCGGTTTTGCGGGGAAACCAAGAGGAAACCACCAAGTGCCCTGAAGAAAGACACGCCCAAATAGCCCTGGAAAAAAAGTACCCATGAAGCTGGGTGGCTTCAGGGGGGGGTGACTTGCCCAAAATGGGACCTGGAAACAGAAGGCAACCTCACCTTTCGGGATCTAAAGATAGGCCAAAATTTGGGAAACCCGAAAAGGTCAAAAGTTCGGCTCACTTAGGGAAAATGGGAGGTTTGGGCCATTCCTCATTTCAGAAAGCAACAAAGCTGACCTCAGGAGAGATGGGTGCTGACTGAGCAGAAGAATGGGTAAAGGCGCGGGCATGACCTCTTAGGACCCGGTTGACCGACAAGTGTAAGGTCTTATTCCCATAGCGACTTAGGTCCAGTAGAGAGGTTAGAATAAGGCTACCTTTTTTCAGGACGTCTACTTTAGTAGGGGAACCAAATCTCCCCCCAAAAAAGGAACGGTCAAAGAGCGGGCACCAATAGCTGGGGGACCGAGTCTTATTCGGGCAAAGGTGGGCACTCCTACACAGGGAACCTGCTTGGAATCCCAGCCCCTCCGGCGCCCCTCGGGTGTTGGGCTTGGGTCAAATATCAACTCGGCTCAAATCACTTGATCCTTGCCCCAAACCTAGGGCTCCAGTGGATTTCCAGTGAAAGTGACATGTGTGTGTCTTGTTCTAGGGGACCCTCGCCCCAACATTTTGTTCTCCATATATATATATATACTATTATAAACAACTGCGGTGATATGTGTTGGATTCCCTGTAAAACCACCCCTGTTTTTTTGCTTTAAGAAGAGGAATCCTCAAAACACGTTCATACCCACATGCGCCTTTTTGGTTTGTAAGAAAACCGCTAGAAGGGACACCACCAAGGAATTGATTTTCGTCAAGCAAAGACTTTCAAATTTTAACTTGAGGGTCCCCAGCGGGCACCGTCCTTTCCACACAACCTACTGGGTCAGCAGGAGAGTCCAGGCCAAGTTGTTTTCCATTTTTTCCTTCCCACCAACCAACATGAGTTTGTTCACACAAAGCCCATTTTTGAAGAGCAAAGTAGTGTTTCTACAGAGGCATGTGCACAAACCCATGTTAGTTGAGTCACAATTAAAACCCGGTACAAAAATAATCGACCCAGAACCATGTAAAGAACTAAGAAGGCGGAGGTCCGCAGCTATTTATGGCTGGGATCGTCCCTTACTAACCTTCATCTGATGTTAACCCCGGATTAATAAACCCTTGGTTGATTAATAGGGGGGTGTCCCCTTTTAGTGGGGATTCAGACCACTTTTGGAGGGAACACCCCCCCACTTTTAGCTGGGATCGTCCACCCCCGGGTTTTGAGCACGTGGCTCAGGTCGGGGGTTTTCTTGGCGCCGATGCCAAAGCGGCCTCAGGGGGTCGGTCACCATGACGTTCAGCTCGCTCCAGTGGTAGCGAGCTTGTCCGCCCTCCGTTTCCCAGGCCACCTGTCGGGCGCACCCCGAAACTACCTAGAGTCTCCTTCTGACCCCTAGAAAAAGGGGTCATGACCCCTTAATTTTGGGTAGTGCCTCCATTTTTAAAGAGTCAGAAGGAGACTCTAGATAGGTGGGTTCCATTTCCCCTAAGCATCAGAAAGGACCCTCCAGTGACGGGGTGAAGCTTAGGACCTGCAGAAAAAAAAGGTTTTGGACCTCGTTTCAAAGGCAAGATGCTTTTGGGCTCCATTCAAACCCACCCAAAAAGGGCACAACCTTCTTCGCTTGGGCATGGAAACCTGACACGAACCGAATCATTTGGCTGGTACAAGGGATGCCCCAAGTAGTGGAACGAGAAAATTACTGCAATTTACCATGGTTTTACGGTTGAGTGTGGTTGGTTTACTTGCAATATTTAGGGCATGCAGCGAATATTCGGGCAAACAAAGGAACTTGTCTCCATATTTTAGGACATGGAACACTGTTTTGAGAACCCCCTCCCCTGCATATGGCCCAAATTTGGACATCCGACACGGAACTCGAATTTGAACATTGGCTCAAATGAGGTTTCAACATGAACACGATGTGTCCCTACCTCCTCCAAATGTGTTTGCTATGTATATTATATTTTGAAGAACCAGTTTCCAAATACATATATTTCCAGTCAGTAGTTGTATCATGCCCTACCATTCCCTCAAAAAAAGAGCTTTGAACATTAGGGGGATATTTCAGAAACGACGTCATTTCAATTTTGGCGAACAATCGGATTTTCTACAGGTTGATTGCTCCATCCTGAAAAGAAGGATCTCTGGCAAGAATGATTGGGCGCTTCCCCTCGCTCACTTGCCCAAAGAGCCTGAAAGTAAAAGGTCAACCTGGGATCTTGACTATTGGACTAAGGGGAAACCAAAAAGGTTTCATTTCAGGTGGATTCGCCTTAAATGGCTACTTGTTTTTGTGGGTTTAAAGGGAAACCAAAAGGATCGACACCCGACACGTGAAACCCGTCACCGCAGACAAAAAAGGAACACAACAACCAAACAAACACGACACACGCATCCGCAGAAGCGCCCCAACACCCAACAGGCGTGTTTCCATTTCGACCGTTCCTCGGACATAGAGCCAAAAGGAAACCCATCACCCCCTCCCAAAAAAACAAAAAAACAAACATCACCCCCCCCCAAAAAAAACCAAAAAAAAAAAAAAAAAACCACAAACAAATACAACATGACATTCGCACGCATCCGTTTCGAGGGTTCAGGGCCTGTGAGATGCCCATGGAACTGGCCACCATCAAACCCTTCGTGTCCAGGATGAAGCCTTCCTCCTGCTCCACCGCTGCGCACGCCTCAGCCAGCACAGGGAAACCGGCGAAGGGAACCGGCGCAACCCGCCCCTGGCCCAGCCGAAAAAAGAAACACGGGGAAACAGACAGGAGAGAAGCAGGAAAAGCAGAAACGACGTGGAAAGCACGGCCGGAGAAGAAAAACGAGGTGCAAGCAAAAGGAAGAACATATGAAAGCATAATAAACTAATAACCAAAGGAGGACACACATGAGACTTTCCTGCACAACAACATGTAACCCAGTGGAAGTAAAGTCAGTTATCAAGGAACCGAACCGACAAGAGGAAAAAAGCCAAGAGGACTGGCACGACTGGAGGTCATGCGTAAGAGGGTCTTTTGCGCTTTTTGGGGCCTGCTTGTATGTATGGAATTCCACCCGAACAGTGCCCCAAATAAGACCCGCAAGCTTTGGGTATAAGGCAGGCAACTAAGTGTGAATTCGGTAGTGAAACCATCTGAGCCTGCCTCCTCCTTTTGGGTTAAGGGAAACCAAAAAAAAACAGCTTCTTGGGCAGTCCACATTCCTATTCTGAGAGACACCCATGCTATCGGCGCGGATCCGGAACGACAAAGACCTGAACAAAGCTATGAACATAACCCATGCTAGGTCCTCCAGAAGAGAGGTTGGAATAAGGGTACCTTTTTTTCTGTAGTCTATTTTAGTAGGGGAACCCTCCCCCAAAAAAGGGTGAAAGGGCACTACTGGGAGACCTAGCATAATGTGGGTGTTCCGAAAAGGAAGTTGGACCCCAAAGCGATTTCTTCCTGAAAAAAACATCATACTGTGGATGGACAACATCCATTTCGCACCATCTAAGAAACCCTGGCTTCTGATGATTCCCCTGTAAATACTACCAAACTATGGCTTCAACCATGGACTCATTTCGTGGTGCGGTGCCAGATTTCGCACCCTCAGTTCGAACACCCCGCCTCCTCCATGTATCGGCTCCTCAGTTGGCCAGCAAAGGGGGGAGTGGGGAGTGAGGGGGAGTGAGTGAGAGGGGGGGGGGAACCTGCACCTACCTAGAGTCTCCATGACCCCTAGAAAAAGGGGTCATTACCCAAAATAAAGGGGTTATGACCCCTTTTTCTAGGGGGCATGGAGACTCTAGGTATGTTTTTTTTGCTGATACCCCTGTTGGGTCTGAAAAAAGGGAAGCCGAACGGACACCCCCATGTTGAAACAAAAACCCAAATAAACATTCTGTCAAAAGAGGCGCACCCCAAAAAAGACACTCAAGTTTTCATGGGTTCCCTTTAAACTTCAAACCAACCTGAAGGGTATCAAATACTCTCTCTCTTTTTAAAGAAGGAAAGCTGAGCATCACCATCAAGCTCATGAGCATCCCTCCCGGTCTTCCCCCTGAGTTTCCTCCGGGTTTCCCATGAGCTCTCCCCACCACCACCACCACCATCATCATCATCATGCTCCTCATCATCACAATCAGCATCATTTGGGTATGGGTTAAAATACAAACCAGGGAACTGCAGGTTTTAGTCTTTGTTTCCATTTCATGTTGGATACCTGGACCCTCAAGCTACCAATAAAAAAAGTGGAATTTGCCAACAACAATGTTGGGTTGTAAGAAACCATTTTAGGTTGGATTCTTTGGGCTTCTGGGATGAATTCCCCTTTGTATGGGTAGTTTGAGGATCCTGATACCTACTTTTTGAGCTACGGCCCATGTCCCAAAAACTGGGCTGCCCTCAGATCTCCCGCTAAAAAATTGACTTGTAGTGGGTTCAATGGAAACTACCACTAAACACTAAAAGGCCAAAAAGCTAAGGGGATGGCTGGCTTCGTCGTCGCGGCCAAGGCTCAGGTAGGACACGGTGAAGTCGGAGGCCGCCACCGCCAGGACCTCGCCGTTCAGTCCGACCACCGCCTTGGCCGCGGTCATTCCCAGAGAGTGCCCGGAGCTGAAGTTGTAGATGTCGATCCAGACCTCAGTGAAAGCGAAAACCGGGGGTGGGGAGGAGCTTCAAACACCCCGGGGAAAACAAAAACGTGAGTTTCCCAAAAAAGCCTTTAAAACAATTACCAACTAAAACAAAGGGCAAACCATTTGCTTTTTCGCCCCGGGAAAAAATGAAAAACATGTCCAGCAGTGATAGATACCTTTTAAAGCCAACAAGGGGAAATAAACAAACAATATTCTTAAGCAAATGGAAGAAAGGCGAAAACCGGGCGGGGGTGGGGGGGGAGGAAACGGTGGGGAAAGCCGGGTGGGGGAAGGAACCTTGAGGGAAACAACAACGGAGTTCCACAAGAAACATATGAGCGGGGGTGGGGGAACCTTGGGAAAACAAGACCTTGGGAAACAATGTGTTTTTGCCCCAACAAATGCCCCTAACAAAAATACCAACCAAAAACACAACAACATGGAAACAACGTGCTTTTCCCCAACAAATGCCCCCTCCCCCCCGAAAAAGCAACAAAAAACAACAACTAAAAAAAAGTACTTGGAGCTTTCCGGGGGCAGGTTGAGACATGCTGGCGCGCTTGCTGACGGGACTCTGCAAAAAGTTAACTTTTCTGGGTCCGATGCTCACGTCCTGAGCGGATTGGTCAGAAAAGGTAACCAAACTTTTTGTTTACCACAAAAAAGATCTACCCAAAAAGTTTAAAGTTCAGGAACCAAAGAGTTAAAGTCCAAAGATCCGTCAACTGGCCACAAAGTTGGGGGGAAAGAACCTCACTTCCGATCGAGTGGATGGCCCTCAAAAAAATCGAGAAACTTTTGTGCGCCAACATGGCAACCAAGCCCAAAAAGCTTGAAATCCATGCACTCAGAGAGTAAAGAAAGGACGGGAGACGGCCCGAGACCCGAAATGTTCATGGAGATGTTGAATGTGTGTTTGAGGACCTTAGCAGTGGGCTTAGTAGTGGGCTCACAAACAAAATATATCCAGCAACCCCTTTTAGAAGGGGAAACCTATCGAACTCCTCAGGAACTCAACATGGAAACCACCCATTTGGGGCCCGAAAGACAAAACCCCTGTGAAGCATAACCATCCCCAAACTCAGCCTACCTCCAATTGGTTTGTGGCTTGGTGGTTTGGTGGTTCAGGTGTGGTTTCCCATTTGGCTCACTTGCCCCAACGAAACCGGCATTCCAACCCGACCAACAAACCTCTGGGAGAATTTGATGCCCTGGATCCGAGGTCAGGGGTTCTCTCCAGGTGTGTTTTGCACCACCTGACAACACAGACGTGGACCTACTGAGCGTTGTGACATCCATTTCGCACCGTTCAGCGACCCTGGTTTAGGATGCGCTTCCTGGAAATAACAAAATGGTTTCAGCCATGGTTTCAAAATGCAAGATTTGGTCCACCCACAGCAGGAGACTTATATTTCACCTCCAGAAAGGCTTCCCACGAGTTTCTATCCATCAAGAAAAAGGAGAAACCTCCATATTCCGCCGGGGAATCTGGAACCCAATAAGACCCAAGGCGCATGAAGCACCAACCCTGATTGAGGTGGTTCAGTACAACATGGCCATGTCCCAGCCTTTTCACATGGAACCGTTCGACGTGTTGGGGCATCCTGGCGTGGACCACTTGTAAAGGGGCCGGGTCCCTGTCAGGTTCTATGTTAATGGGTGGGAGGGTAACCCTTGATACTACTCCTATCGTTCCATGCCAACATATATGATATTTGAGTCGGACACAAAACCTCCAGCGGATTTCAGTGGAGTGAACAATGGGGCCGGCTTCAAAACCAGGTGATGTAATAGGTTTCGGCGGATAACATGAGATGAGGAACTCAAAAAAAAAACAAAAAACTATGACACATGGGGGCGTGATCAATATTCCGTACGGCCCCCAAATGACCATGCTAACTTTCCCATTTAGTGCGGAATGTCATCTTCTTAGGGGTTTGCTCAAAGGGTCTTCCTATGTTTTAAGGACCTTTTGATCAACCCTGGACAAACTCCTGCTCCACTTTGAAACCATAGAAAACCGTTGTTTCTTATTATTTAAAGGGGAGTCATCATTCCAGGATTTCTGAACGCGACATGGATTTCCTCATCATCCACAAACAGTATCGCCAGGAAAATTCCTACTTCGCTGGTCAGGGTTCACTCAGTTGCGCAAAGGACCTGGAACTAAAAGGTGATCACCTTTTGGGGCCTTTACTAAAGATAGACCAAAATTGGAAAACCAAAACCAAATTGCCCAAAACCAAAAGGTTAAAAGGTCGGCTTTGGGCAACTGAGTTCCTCCGCACGGGCGGATACCCCGCATCCGACTGATGCAGATCGCGGCGCGAGGTGCCCTCGTGCGGCGGCGGCGCGCTCGTACCAGTGCCGCTTCCGGGGGTCGTAGTCGTGGCGCTTGTAGGTGCTGACGAACTTGCCTGGCAGGTGGGGCTGATCCCTACCTTATTTACAAAGTCTAGTCTCCCCCATGTGTGAAAAGGTGGTCCGCCAAAGGAACATGGCCTGGCGTGGGGAAAAAGGTTGCCTGACAAGTGAAGATGCCAAAGGGAAGAATCAAGAAACAAGATCTGAGCAAGATGCGGAGGCCCAAACAAGTGTGGTTAAAACTCGTCAACGCCAAAAAAAGGACTGCGACAGGCCGTAACAAGATACCTGAGGTGTGGTCAAGGGACACGCCTTGTGGTTTCTCTTTTGCCCTCAGTGCAAAGAGTAAACAACTCTTCCTAACAAGGTAAAGGCCAAATAACAAGCCAAATAGCAACCAAACAATGTATTGTGGTGCTTGTTGAACTTGAAGCATGTACACACATACACACATGCGTGGCCACATGCAAAGAAACACAAAAAACAACCGCCCTTTCCCCCCCCCTTCTCCCCTCTCCCCGCAGCCCACCAGTCTGGTCGACCAGGTAGTAGGTCTTCTGTCCAGGGCGCAGCTCGGTCATGGGCGGGCACAGGCTACAGATTTGACTCGACAAAGGTACGCCGTCCTGCCGTTGGAGCGACTAAAGAAAAAAATCCTCCAGGAGAGAGGTTGGAGGGTACCCACTTTTTGCAGGACGTCTATTTTAGTAGGGGAACCCTCCCAACCCAAAAAGGGGAGAGAACGGGCACTACTGGGGGAGAGAACGGGCACTACTGGCAGACCTAGACAAAAAAAAACGGGTCTGCAGTGGATTTCCATGAGCAAATTGGGGCCATCCACCCGATTGACAACTGAAAGGGGCCCCCCGTTCGCCCCAAAATACGGAGAAAGGTGAACCTGCGCTGGAGGTCGGGGACCATCTAAGAACACAATACAGTGAACACTGAAGACACTCAGAGGAAAACTGGCTGAACCGTGACGGACCGTGCAGGAAACCCAGGCATATGTCAGCCTTGCCAAACTGTTTCGTTGTGTTTGGGTGTGTGGCATGTTCCCCCCCCCCTGCCCCCAAGCAGAACAAACATACTGATAGAAGCGCGAACCCGCACGTAAACGGCGTGTGGCATTTTGTCTCAATGCGTCAACCTAGAGTCTCCATGACCCCAAGAACAAGGGGTCATAACCCCTTAAATTTGGGTAATGAGCCATTTTTAAAGGGTCATGGAGACTCCAGGAAGGTTCAGAGAGAACCAACCCAAAACAGTTCGTGATGCAACCAGCTCTCATAGTTCGTTAACCTCAGCAGTCCTTCCTTCTGCGCTTCCTTTCGTTGCGTTTTTTTCCACGCATTCTCTGCTTCTTCCTTTGCTTGATTTCACAGGTCTTCTTTCGAGTGTGTCTTCCCTGCTGCTTTCTTTGCTTGCTGGCTTTGCAAGTCTTCTTTGCTTGCTTTCAATGCGCGCCTTGTTTGATGTATGGCTTTGCACCTCTGCTCTGCCGCTTTCTTCCTTGTTTGCTTTCCGCATCTTCTTTGTCTACTTTATTTGCTTGGTTTCTTTGCCCACTTTCCTTGTGTGCTTTCTCTCTGCAGCCTTGTGTTTTTGCATTCTTCCAAAACACAAACACCCACACCCATACCCATCTTCTGACCAGTTGATTCAACTCAAATGGGCGTGGCTCAAAATTAACCAGCTGGACAAAAAATCAGGAATCCCCAGGTTCGTTCCTCCAACCCGGAAGGTCCTTCCCTACCTATCGCACCAACAAGTGTTCAGCTTCCTCTTGGTGGATTGGTGCTTTGCTTCAGGACGGGTGTCCCTCTCCAAGGACCCGGCTTCAAATCCCCAAGCCACCAATCCAAACCACCGACCAGGGGTTACCTGAAGTCTTCACCGTTGATTTGACACACACAGAACCAGGGTTCCTTCTTTTTGACTATCTTGGGGAAGACTGAAACCCAGGCATTTCCCTTTTGGGGAATCAACCACTGGGTTTCAGTCTGTCTTGGGACTCGTAGTCAAAAAAAACGGAACCCTCACAGAACAACTCGTCGTATAAGGGTACCCTTTGTTCCGTAGTCTATTTTACTAGGGGAACCCTCCCAACCAAAAAAGAAAGGGGTTAAAAAGGGCACCTAGCTGGGGGTCCCAGCACAACACACCGAACCACTCGTCGCTGGGTCCGATGGTCGGAACTCGCCCCCAAAGGCGCTGGGCGCGTTGTGCTCTTTGGCAAAGCCCCAGGGCAGCCGCTCGTAGCCCACAAAGGAGCCCTGGGCGTCCGCGGCGTAGACGAAGTCCACGTCCGGAAACAGCGTAGTCATCTGCTTCCTTAGCTCGGTTGCGAAATCTGCGAAGCCCTGCTAAAAGCGAATAAATTTTAGTGGTTTAATACGGAAAACCCGTTAGATGGAAAAAGTTGAAGTCCTAACATCCCTTGGCAAAATGCACCAAAGTTAACCCAGTTGCCCCGGGACCAAGAAATAAAAGGTGATACTGTGGATGAACAGAATCCTACACCACGTCGAAACCATGGGAAACCATTGCTTGTTGGTATTTACAGGAGAATCGTCATTCCAGGGTTTCTTCAGTGGTGCAGGATTTCGTCCATCCAAAGTATCACCAGTTGGGGCCATAATTAAGTAAAAATGGACCAAACGGGGGAAACCAAAAGGTCAAAAGGTCGGCTTTGGGCAAGAGAGTTAAAGCAAAGAAACCCGAGGTATGGCAGTGTGGCAGCGAAGAAAAAACTTGGTATGGGATTGCACCAACAAAAGGAGGCTGTAGTTGTTTGGCAGCACGCCAAAAATAGAAGTCTTGGCCATCTGCATGGCATCTGCTTCCTTAAGCAAAAACACTTGCTGGTGCGGCAAGTAGGCAATGAGAAATGGAATGAACCTGGGATTGCCGAATAAAGGAAACCACCAGTTGAATGCTTTAAAGGGGTCATTCCCTCATTCCCTACTGAGCACCAGCAAGAACAAACGCAAGATGTTCGGTATGCCAAACAAAACAGAGTCGGTTGTTTGGGGGCCAACTAAAAATGCAAACAAAAAAACAGTTGCTTCCTTATGGCAGTGTAGAAAAAAGAACGGAGTCGAACTTTTTGAGGGGCCTACTAAAACATTTGCTTTCTTAAGTAACAACAAACCCTTGGTATTCGGTATGCAAAACAAAAAACAACAACGGGAGCCTGTATTTCCCTCTGATTAATTGGTGATTTGGAGCCGACTAGCAACAGGGGTTCAAATCCCCAAATCACCCATCCAAACCACCAACTAAGGGTTGCCTGAACCCTTGGTATGGGCTTGCAAAAAAGAAAACAAAGTCTGCTGTTTTGGGGGCCCCACAAAAAATAAGAAGAGAACTAAAAAGAACCTAAACACGCAAAAGCTTGCCAAAAAAGTTGAAGCTTCCACATGTCTTCAAGCACTTCCTGCAGCTATCCGGCGGCAAGGGGCGAATGGTTGGGAAACAACCTTTTCAGAGGGCACAAGAACAACAAGAGATCCACGCTTTCATAATTCACTCCTGCGAAATCGGGCCGTGTGCGTTCTTTCCATAGACTTCCTCCGGTTACATGAAGGAGTCTTTGGTTTTGGCTCCCTTTAAGCTGAAAAGAGTAGCCTCAACAAAGACATGTCCGTACATCAAGCGTGAAAGCTGGGTGGAAAATTGGGAAGGAGGACAAACATGCCCAAACCCTTTTTCCCTTGTGAATTAAACACTGGTGAGTACAAACCCGCGGAATTGTGCCCAGTGTTCGAAGACTTCCTGAAGGTCAGCACTGACCTGCAAAGCCAAGTATTTGAAACCACTCTTCGAAGACTTGCTGAAGCTGAGATTGATTGATTGAGGTTGGAAGGGGAGCAAGCATTTAGATTTTAGCAGTTCAGTGGGGATTTCAACCACTAAACCACAATGAGATCAAAGATGGAAAAATGTTTCCCAACAACAACTATGTTGGCTTCCCTTCAACAATCAACCCAGCATTCCGGGACGGAACCCCTCAAGAACACCATGAGAATAATTCCACTCAGAATCTTCCTCAGACATCCAACCTGAAAAACTTCCTCAGACATAGGTGTTCGCACATTTTGTTTTCTCACTGGCTGAGTGGATGGCCCCAAAAAAGGCCCCAAACTTTAAATTTACCACTAACATGGTCCAAACCCAAAAAGTTTAAAGTCCATGAACTCAGGAAGTGAGAAATTGTCCCAACCCCCAAAGTGAAAAAACAACAACAACAAAAAACATAACAACTTGGACATCCAACCCGCAGCCTTGGATCCCCTCTTCCACACACCCTGCCTGTGCGCCGGAGAACCAGGTCTAAACCACGGCTGGGAAGGTTGATTTTTGTGTTTTTTTTGGGGAAACCCGGGTTTGATTATTTTTTGCTTGGTTTGATTTTGGGGGGAAGCCCGGGTGTTTGGGGCACTTGATAAAAGGTCCGCATGGGTGCAGTTTTTACAGGGTTCCACCGAAAAGAACGAATCCAGCTTTGGTGGTCTAAAACCGTTCTTTCAGGGGAATTTCCTTTTTTTTTTTTGTCAGGGGTTGACGTCATACGCGCGCGCATATCCTGAAGAAAGTTGGCATTGGGTGTAGGTGGAGTACACCATAGTGACCTGCTCTTACCCTCTCTCCCCCCGAATCGGAGGAATCGCTCACCAAACAGGCAAAAAGCTTGGGGCTTGATTTTGAAGACCCAGTGAGTTGTGTGTGTGTGTGTGTGTCAAGGTGTCAAACTTCTAGAGGCATCTTCTCATTCTTAACCCAGGGATTCGAATCTTTCTAGAAAACCTCGGGAAACCCAGGGAAAAAAAAAACCAACGACTGTTTGGTTTCAAATAATGATGGTTGAAAAGAACGGGAATCAACCCCTAGAAACTTCAGCCGACCTCGTGTATTCCCTTTCAAAGGCACAAGGCGGCAGCTAGCAGGCAGCGTTCTTTAAATCAATCCCCAAACAAGTTTACTCAGCTTCCCTCTAATTGGTGGTTGATCCCCTGCAAGAACCACGGGTTCAACAGAGGATAAACAACAGCACAATAATTTACGTCAAGCGTATTGGGTGACCATTTTTGCTTTTGGGATGCGCTGCACACATTTTCGACCCATTGCTACCTCCGCCCCGCCCGAAGCAAACGGTCGACCTTTTGTAACGTGATTAGACTTGGGCAATTTGCCCAGGTCTATAATGTATAATTTATTGTTTGCTTCCCTTTGACAGGTAAAATGTAAAATGTCTCCTAAGCCTACCCCAGGTAAGTTTCATGGAAAAACAAACATTTGTAAGTCCAGGTCCCACCCAACAAGGGCGATTCGGGCACGTGACCGAATTGCAAAGGGGAGTTGGTGGGTTTGTGTTAGAAACGCCCAACCCGGGAGACAAAAAGGTGTGTCTTGTCTTGAAGGTACCTGGAGTCTCCATGACCCTTTAAAAGTGAGGTCATTACCAAATTAATGGGTTATGACCCCTTTTTCTAGGGGTCATGGAGACTCTAGGTCGCCTTGTTTGTGGTTTTGAGGGGAAACCAAAACTCCTACCACCATGTGGGGGGTCCCCCTGAATCTCGGTTGCCCCTTAGGGACCCAAAAAATAAAGGTTAACTTTTCGGGGCAATAACTAAAAATGGGAACCCGACATGGGGAAACTCCAAAAGGAATGGCTTTGGGCTAAGGAGTAAAGACAGAGCCCCAACTTCCATTTGCTCAAGCCCCCTACCAACAATAATGTAAATTATATCATATATCATATGTCCAGTAGTGAAATAGATTCCCTTTAACACCAAAAAGAGAAATATTCAAAAAACATAAAATAATACTATTCATTTCAGCCAATGGACCCGGGCTTCGGTACCCTTAAAGGAAACCACCAGTTGGATGGTTTCTCTTGGGGTCATAGCCATTGGAAGAACAAACACATTTCCTTTAAAACCAAGAAAGTGAAAATAACAAAATGTAAGAACAAAAAGCAAGTGGCAAGAAAATAACTTAAGTTGCCTTTAAAAAAAGCCAATGGAAGAACAAAAAGACCACCAGTTGGATGGCTTTCTCTTGGGGTCATGAGCCATTGGACAAACAAACAAATTCCCTGTAAAACCAAAACGTGAAAATCACCACACCAATGAAAGAACAAAAAGCGAGTGGCAAAAAGATCCTTTTAAATTCCCTTCAAGGAAACCACCAGTTGGATGGTTTCTCTTGGGGTCATGAGCCATTAAATCCAAAACGTGAAAATCACAAGAACATGGAAGAACCAAAACCAAGTGGGAAAAAACAACGGAAATATCTTAACTCCCCTTTAAAAGGCCAATGGAAGAAGAAAAAAGCGGCTGCCCGCCGCTCCGCTCCTCGAGTGCCTCCGAGTTCAAGACAGCAGGTAACTCCTCCGCCGCGTTGGCGTTGATCTGCGTCACCAGCTTGGGCCTCGGGAGCTCTGGGAGCGACTCGACTGGGCCTTTGGGGCTAGAGGCTACCCTGGAGGCTGGTGGTTGACAAAGGAAACCAAAAGGAAGCAAGCAACAGGAAAAGAAAAGAGAAACCAAAAGGAAACCAAAGAGACAGGTGGGCCTTTTGGGCCTTTTGGGTGAGGCTATTGTTGGAGAGAAAGGTCTCTCAAAAACGGGAAACAGGGAAAAAGATTCCGCGTCAGTCCCATGCAAGATGTTGAAGCCTACAGGCGAGGATGGATGGCGATGATTTCTGGGAGTCTGGCAGTCAGGATTTCTGGGTACCTGAGGCTGTTTTCATTCTATCTGGGTCTGGGATTTGGGCAAGTCCATCATCCCCCCCAAAAAGAAAAGGAAACCAACAGGACACCGCAGAACTCTTGGGAATTGTACCTAAAAAAGACGCCACCTTTTAGGCAAAATGGCGATGATGTCCTTGGACAGTGGTTCTACCAGGCTGTGAGCCTGCATAGATCATTATCGCAATTTTACCTAAAAGGTGACTGTCTTTTTTAGGTAACAATCCCAAGAATTCTGTGGTGTCCTTTTGGTTTGCTTTTTAACACCAGCCAAAGAATCATTGCCATTTTAACCCCCCCAAAAATGATAGTCTTTTTTAGGGAACAACAGAGCTAATTTTTGGAAATAATTCTGCGGTGTCCTTGGACAGTGGTTCTACCAGGTTGTGAGCCTCCATAATTCATTATCGCCATTTTAAGCCCAAAAGGCGACTGTCCAATTTTTAAGGGACCTTCCCAAAATGACTTCCGAAAACTCTTCCCTTTTTCACCCACAATCATTGTTCTCTAAAAACGACAGTCACCTTTTGGGCTTGAAATGGCAATGATTCTTTGGCTGGCGTTAAAAAGCGAATCAAAAGGACACCGCAGGGCCGAAGGAATTCTTGTTTTGTTTTTTCACCTAAAAAAGACAGTCACCTTTTAGGCAAAATGGCGATGACAATTCTTGGGGTTGGTCCCTGAACGACTGTCACCTTGTGGGCTTAAAATGGAGGCTCACAACCTGGTAGAACCATACTAATCCAACTCCCAGGCTAACGTGTTTTCTTCTTCAAGCATGACCTCTTTGACGCAAAAAACGTGAGATGGTTCAGCCACCCAAAAACAAAGGGGGCAAAACTCTAGGGGTGGATTCCAACCTGTTGGGGGTATAGGTGTGCCCTTAGGGGACTCCAACCTAAACCGGTTTGTCTCCCCTCGGTTTTGGGATTGCCTGAAAAGATTCGGATCCCTGGAATGGGGGATTTGTACCCCTAGAAAAACCACGCACGGCTCCGTCCCCAAAATGATGTTCACCCCCCAACCGAAACGACCCTGGTGAAAATAGGGAAGATACCCTCATACGACGGCGAGTGGCTCCATATCCCACCAAAGGTCTGGGGGTAGCGAGAAAACAATCTGCGTCCAGTTGTATTGCAGTATCTAAGGAAACCACAAGGTGGGTGTGGTTCAAAAATAGGTAGACAAAATGGAACCCTGTTTTTTTGGTGTCCCATTGAAACCACTGCTGACCCCTCAAGCATACCCATAAACAAGCCAACCAAAATATTGGGTTGCAACAACCCCTCTTTATGCGTAGTTTGAGGGTCCAACTAGCCAACTAGCCATACAGGAGTTGGTTTCCTCGGGTTTTCCAAAAATACAACCAAAATAGCCATAAAGACAAATAGCCGTTAAATAGCCCTACCCAAAGGCTCCTGGGGCTTTCAATGGAAGACCCGACCCCTCCATTAGACACCCCGGGAATTGGTGGTTGGTATCAAAGCCAGGTTGTTTGAAGGCCCTAATCGAATTGGAGCCTCTGGGTAAAGAAAAAGTTAGTTTTCTCGGGTTTTCCAACAAAATGCGGCCAACCTAGTGTTTTGTTTTTAGACAAATGGCCGTTAACTAGCCCTAAAGAAAAAAAAAGGGTACCCACAAAAAAATCAAGCCAACCGGCAACGGTTTCTTTTCCCCAAGGCGCCAGGACGCAAACTTGGAGATGCTCTGCACCACCGTGATGGCCGAGGCAGCCTCAAGAAACGGACCATCGGACACGTCACGTCTCACGTCACGTCTGACGGAATCCGGGTGTTGGGAATATACCTAGGGATTCCCTTCAAGGAAACCGTAGGGGATGCTTTATAGGGGTGGACAAATTTGGCAACAACTGGCGATCTGTGCGATAGGTAGGGAATGAGCTTCCGAGTCCGGGTGTTGCTTGAATGAATGAAGCGGTTGGAAGGGGATTCCCGATAAAGGAAACCATAGGGGGATGGTTTATGGGCGGTCATTCCATTTCTCATTCCCTGCTGAGAACCAGCAAGACAAGCACACACGAGAAAACACACCCAGGCAGGGAACACAACACAACAACACAACGGAAAGCAGAAACAAACACAGCAACACGGACTTCACTGCAAAAGGAAAAACAAGCACGGACAACTCGAAGAGTTGTAGTGAAAATGGAACCCTTCAGAAATCCCCCCCCAAAAAAAACGAAAAATCGGGAAAATCCGAAAAATCCGAAAAAAATCCGGAAAAGGACACCTCGACCAGGGAAAAAAAAGAACAAGCCAAGCACCCGTAGGCCCGTAGGCCCCCGAAAGCGAGAAGGTGGTCAGTCATAGTGTGTCTTGCGCCAAAGGTTTTGGGTGAAATCAATCAAAAGTGTTAATAATTATATAATACAAAAGTTCATGAATTAAATTTGCCATCATTTAATAAATCATTATTATTATTAGTTAGTGTTGATATGGTTGTTGATGACTTTCAGAGCACGCCATGTCTTCTGCCAGACGCTTCACGCCTTTCCTGTATCGCTTCAGGGAACCGCCAAAAAGTCCTCTCATGAGGTTTGCAACTGAGCCATTTCCGTAACACTTTGTAGTAAGGCCTTGCTTTTTTGTGGGAAGCTTAGTGAGTCCCTCAGTGTCCCCAACCTTCAAGTGATCATACATCCAAACTCGTATTTCAGTCAGATTTCTATTTCAATGTGTGTGTGTGTGTCCAAATAGGGCGACCCCTTCCCCCCCAAAAAAAAAGAAAAACGTGGCTCCTTTCGGTGTCCCTTTAAAACCACCCCCACGATAACCCGCTTATAAATCCCCTTAAGCGGATTTGTTATATAACTCAAAGTGGCTAACCACTTAGTAACTCGTCCGGACATCCAAGTACCATCTCCAAAAAAAAAGGCGACTCTCTCACAGGAAGCGGCACCATGGAGTTTGCAAAACCTGTGGGTTGCCGCTTGTGATGTCCACTCCCCTTGCTGGAACCAACTTGTGGATGCGAGTGCAGAGCTCGTCCAGAAACCCGCTGTTCATGTCTGGATGTTGTTTTCTTTTTTTCCCCGACACATGAGGAGGTTGAAAATCCCAGCATTCAAGATCACCATGTTTGCCCGTTTCAAGGAGTCTACCTTCCATTTGCTAGTCCCATGGTGAAACGTATATATGTTTCTAGTGATCGATTCAACCTTTAAACCCAGGGGCAAAAAAAAAAGAGGAAAACGGCGTGTATCCGCAGCCGGCCCAAGGAGCGGAAGCCACGAGAAACTCACCCGACGTGACGAAAGGCTCTGAGACTGGTGTCGTCCCCGAAGGATTTCTGAACGCCAACTCCGCGTTCAGAACGCCCAGATCCAAGGCAACAACAACAAAAAACACGTCCATTTTCCATGGTGACAAGAAGGGCCGACGTGCTAAAAACCGGTTGGCCAACGCGCAACGTCCGCGAGGATTACTTGGCTGTGGGTCAGAAATAGCTACCCAAAACTGAGCCCTGGTAAATAGACACATCGACTAAAACCCGCCGTCCCCTGAAGTTTAATTTTGACCTTGACCCATACCCACTTTGCGAGTCGCTTGTAGGTGGTGCGCCATGTTGGTCAACACCAGCGTAGAAGAGGCGTTGAAGTTCGTCATGATCTCCTTGGTGCGACTTGGTTGCTGCAACGGCCCCCCTGCAAAAAGTTTTCCACTTTTTGGGGGTTTAGTAGAAAACACATTTTTTTCCCAAAAGTGAAAGCGTAAAGATCCCACCCAGCAGCAGTCAAGGACAGGATCTCAAAACAAAAAGGACAACAGAGCAGTTCTGAGCGTCTTGGGGGCCCAACACCGCCTCCGCCTCCCCCTTATCCAAACCTTTTGAAGAGAAGACCCCTAAACAAAAGGAAGGGTCTGATTAAACCTCATTTAGAGGAAACCATCGCGCCGCGCGCCGTCAGAGCTCAACGCGCTTTGCAAGCCGCATTGGCAAAGCCCTGCCGAAGGGAGTGGCGAAATCTGCAAGGAAATTGATCATGTGCGTTGGCGTAGAGGGTAAAGCGGGGTGATCCTGAGCCTTGTTTCGTTTCAGGTGCAAACATGACCCGGAAAAATGTGCTGCACTCGTGGCCAGCTTGTACCTGGCCCTGCTTCTTATAAGGGAAAGTGGGGAACTGCGATCTGGTGGGACTTAGATGGATTAAGTGGTGGTAAGCGTGAGCTACATTCAGCATCGACGTAGGCCGACGACACAAGAAGCGAAAAGGCAAGGCGCGTATTTCCACCCACATGGGCATTCTCAGGGATTGCAAAGCGCGACGCAGCGTGAATCTTCTTCCGGAGATCTGTGCGATGGCCAAACATCCTGATTGCAGCCACTTCTTGCTCAAAAGTTGGATCGCATCCCCTTAACGCATCCTCTTTTACACGTGGGGCCCTAGTTTTGCGGGAGCTTGCCAAAACAAAGATGACTAGCAAAATTTGATGTGTCCACCGAAAAATCACAAGACCTGGCCTCTGCGCGGCTATCCTGCTAAGGTGAGGATAACTTACAGTCTTACAAAGACTCAATCCGACACTCAGTCGACACCTAAAACCAAGACTAGAACTACTCGTCGACAAAAAGGGGGGGGGTCTGCAACGAGGTCTGTAACTGCTATGTAGCAAGGTGCGTAACTAGGCAAAGCGCAGAAAGTGGGTTCTTTCTCGCGTTCCCTCCCTACCAGTTGACTGCAAGTTGACTCTTCAGCGAGCGTATGCTCTGCAAAAGTCTGCCCTGCAGGCACTCATGGGAAAACACCGAGAGTCTGGGTATGCAGCGGGGTTTGTACCGAGAGGCATGTTCATACAAGGTGTGCAACGAAGGCGTGTAACGAGAGGTGTGCAACGAGCCAGCAGGTCATTGTTACAGAGGTCTGTCAAGAGGTCTGCAAGAGGTCTGCAACGAATGTCCGCAGCGGCTTCTGCTATAGACCACTCAAAAAAGTCACTGCCAAACAGGCAAGACACCGGACATTTTAGGGACCACCTGCTGGGACCTTGACCACAACTGATCAAAAGACAAAACCAGACGATCATTTCGGGCCGAGTCGTTTCGGGCAACTGAGTAAGGGCAACGATTCCTCCATCTCGTCACACGGATCGTGCTCTAAAAAGAACCAATAATCCTACCCCCCGAAACTCGGATCGACTTTTAGAGCCCCCAGAAGAAATCCTGGTGCGATCCAATTGGGAATGAGAACTGGAATGGCCCCTGCAAAGCATCTCCAGGTCCCATTTCCTCATTCCCTACTTCTCGCAGCGGCAAGAACGTGGCACACCCCCAGTACCAATTTTAGATCCCAGACCTCCGAGCAGAAAGTCACTCACGGAAAAGCTTCGCTGCGCTGACGCGCATTCCCAGTATGGGTCACACACGGAATGGGCGAGCACGGGAAATCCTCAGATCCCCTGCTGGTCGTTTAACTTTTAGTGGCTTTGATGGCAACCGAACCACTAAACCAACTAATTATTTAACAACACCTGCAAAACCGCCAAATTTTGGGGCTCCGATTTTGACACACGCTCAGCACCTTATGCTCATTGAGCTTCAGAGCCTTGGAAAAGACCGGCCCGAGCGCTTTGGGAGCTGCTCTCAAGCCGTTGCAAGGGCGTATCAAAAGGCGCGCAATTTGCCAACCCCCAATTTCAATTCGCAGGAATAACAAGCAACCAATTAACGCATTGTCTATCTTATACCAAGTAATTAGGAAATAAAACTTCGCCTTTTGCGAAAAGGAATGCATGGCTGTGTGCGTGTGGTGATTTCCCTTCAACGTCAACGGCGTATCAACGGCGTCAGGTTGAGATCCGTGCTTTTGACGTACCAGGGAATGGGCTGGTTTCCCACCTCAAATATAAAAAGAGTGTTGGACACTTGTTGGTAGTGTTGTCTGTCGCTATGACCCGTGCCCCGCCAGATTCAAAGCAAAAGCAAAACGCCACAGTCACGGCCGTTCGTGGCACAAGTCTTCTGAATGGATTCCGAGAGTCATCAACTTAATGGTCACGATTGAACTCTCTCCCCGGGTATTGGGTCCCTACAGTGACATCCTCATTTTTGTTGTTCGCCTCTAAGTGGCTTAAAGGGAAGTATCGGGACCAACAAGCTTTGTTTTTAGGACCACCTCGTCAACAACCACGGAAAACCAGTGGCAAAAAGGTTCACAAACGTCGGCCTCTGGGTGACCTCCCCCGAGCTTTCCTGAAAATGGATTTGAAAACAGCCCCCGAGGTTTGAGCACTTGTGGGCAAAAAGTGACGGACTTTGGGTGAAAAATCGGAAAGGAATTCAAGCCAAGCCAACTAAAAAACTGAAATGCTGGGATGGGAGCCACCAATTGCAAGTTGAGAACTCCAAATAAGCCCAGGTTGTTTCCACAGCCTAGAGGGACCCCCTGGAACCTTCCTTTGACCCAGAGCCTACTTGTGCATCGACCCCATAGCATTCAGCTGTTGGGGAACAATTGGCTGCACTAGAAACATGGATTTATGTTCTGACTAATTTTATCTACAGTATTAGAGGTTAGAGTACATGATCTGAGTTAAACAATGTTTAGATCTGACTCTTTGCCTATCATCTTTCCACATTTAGCCTAAAGTAGGACAAGTATGAAACTCTCAATCAATAGGGGAGCCCTTGGCCATCATTTAGGTTCACCTCCACCACCCACTTGCACTGTGGAGGTGCCCGATTTTTCAGCTCATAGCCATACTGTGGATGGGCGAACTGCACCGCTTTGATATGCACAGGGGATTCGAATCAGAAAACCCGGGTTCTGAACGGTGGTGCGTTGGATGGATTTCGCAACCATCCACATTATGTTTGGAGACAGAAGCAGGAAATGACAACCTTTACATTCAGGTGCACGATTAATGTTACACCCCCTTTGTTAATAGCACCCTCTATTCTAGCAAGCTTTTTCACAATTCAGGAACTTGTGACTGCTTTGGGGTCCTCAATTGCAGCAAATTGTTTCCCTGAAAAATGATATATATATATATATATGTGGCAGGGACCTTTCTAACACATTTGCCGGGTATGATCCTGCGCATATTCTACATTATTACATAAGTTACTGAATACATTTTCTATACACATATATTATGATTATCCAAAAAAGACCTATCTTTTCAAACTATACCAATCCTCACTATGCCCATATTCCAGAACATATAATAAGTTTCAAAATAATCTAATAATTATTTCATGAATAAATATTATATATTAAACTAGAACTTAATTAAGAAATGCTACTACGATAAATGCCGTTTACAAATGATGTTTAATGTCACTGTACTATACGTATGTTTAATTCTTACATTCTTGGTATTGTTTATAGTTTCTTCATCGTTGTATATTCATTCATACATTATTCTTATACTCATATCATCACCTATTCAATATTTATACTTAACTTATTACATTTAGAACATGGAATAGCTATCATTTCGTTCATAGCACTATTCATAACATTTCGGTTTTATATTGTACTTAAGATTCTAAAACTAAACCTAGAACTGTTTCTAAATGTTAAAAAACCAAGCTTCTTAAAACTACAACAAAAACAATTAAGTCAGAAACACTAGTACATTGCATAATGAAATATTCTTGTAAAGCTTTTCAAGAACTGCCACTGCTACTACTACTACTACGATGACTACTACTACTACAACTACAACTACAACTACAACTACTACTACTACTACTACTACTAATACTACTACTACTACTACTACTACTACTACTACTACTACTACTACTACTACTACTACTATTGTTATAACTAACATTATCACTATTACTAATAGAATTGCTTTACAATTATTAATGAATACCGTCATATTATATATTCTAAGATACCATTTATGCGATTATTTAATTACATTTTTCATTACTATAATCTCTAGTTTCTACTACTTAATTGGCGTTCTATCAGTACTACTACTACTATTGTTTGTCATTTCAATTTAATTCATGGTCGTCTTTTCCCACTGCTTTTTATTCATCATTTTGTTTGTTGTTATTCTTGCGTTTCTTTTCACACAGCCTTTTCTTATCTTATCTTCCTTTTCAATCCAAATTAACTCCTATCACCAATACTATGTGTAATATGATTATTCTTGTCAAATTCATACAACTCATCACCATCCATACAACTAGTATTAGTATTTGTTGTGTGCGTATATCACTACACTTTGTGTACCTTTAATTTCTCATTTATTCTAGATACTTTTTTCAACATATTCAATTTATTACTTTATGTAAAATATCAATATTTTATTATGTTCAAAAACGTTAAAATCAACTAACAATAACATTCATATCAACTATGCCAACCCTTTCAACTCTACTTTACATTTACATTCAACAGGACATTAATGTTTATATTTTGTTAAGTTAACTATACTTTATACTTTCTTCTATTACTTTCTATCTTTTGAGCAATTCTTACAGTTCTTTCATTTATATACTACTACTACTACTACCACCACTACTACTACTACTAATTACTACTACCACCACTACTACTACTTCTAGAACTTCTATGAATACTATTATCATTATTGCTACCACCACTAGTACTACCACTACCACCACTGTTACCGTTAATATTACTACTATT